GTGTATGGGTCCTAAAGTTTCCAACCCAATGTGAACCCATACCAAAACGATATTACCCATTGGAACCAATGCCGAACCTCTGCTGGTAAACCCTTCAAGTAGAACTGCCTCCCAGTAGATATGGCCGATATGGCCGATATGGCCAATGCCCATCATTTTGGACACGATTGATTTTTCGTGCTTCGAAGTATTCGCAATCCATTTTTTCAGGACCAAAATTCATATCCATGGTCCCCAACTCTAGTATCTAGAAGAATTCTAGTCCTTTTTTTCCTTTCCGAACCGCATTTCCAATGATTGTGATCCATCACTCATTATCAAGGATCTAATTATTCAACATGGGCCATACAATAATCATACTCACTGCACATGGTAAAAATGATGAAATGTAGGATCTGTAAGGATCCAAAAAATAATATCAATAGGAAGAACGTAGTCATGTGGTCGAACCTGAAAATGATTGATCATCATTGATCATCTAGAAAATGTGGCTAGAATTTATCTGGAACATCTAAGAATCCAATGGTCCAATAACCTGATTGGAGACCATCCATCTCCAGGGTTAGACCTCCGTGACCGGGCTCAGAGGTCCGTGGCAAGGGCGCTTTGGGTGAACGCAAGAGCGACAACGCTTGGTGTCGCCAATGCGCGGAGAGCTTCAAGGGATGAGACCAGATTGGAACACCTGGGTCAAAATGATGGGGATTAGTGGGTTTCATGGGGGTTTAATGGGGATTTCATGGTGTTTGATGGGGATTTAGCATGATTTACTCTCTGGTAATGAAACGATTTGCTATGGTATAGATGGCCCGTGAAAGTATATTCTGTACCTATTGAAAGGGATTCTCCATAGCTATGTTCAATTGCCAGAGGTGATATGGATGTGTCGGCAGTTTTAATGGGGACAATGATCAATCCACAGAATTTTTTGTGGGAAAATGGCATCAATCACCAGCCATTCTATGGTGATGTAACATGAAACATAAACCATTGGGATTCAATGAGGACAAGCCCAAAGAAGAAGTCCATGTATCGTTGATGGTGCCAAGTTTTTATCTCAACATCACAAGGGCACAGAAACGGGAATATGCTCATATCCTGTCATATCATTCTTAGATTTAGTTGAAGGTATTCTTTTCAGGAAAACAGTTTGTTTGATGGGTTTAAACATGGGTAAATCCATTGATTTATTGATGAACGAAGACTTCGTGACACACCGACAGCGGCGCAGTGGTTCCTGACAGTCAAACTGCTTGAGCCCTGCCAGTGGTGACAAGGTGGTATGATGACAAATCCATGGTTTCAACATCTTTCAACCAAGCCATGATAGCAACCATCCGCATTTGGGACAAAGACGACCTGATTCAATCCTGCAAAGTTGTGGCTACCACGTGTCCCTCTTAATTTGGGGGCTCTGCTCCCGAGAAAAAAAGGTCGCAGAAAATGACCAGCGGAGAGAGCCCCAGAAGAATTTGTAAATCTAGGAAACCTGCAACCGCTGTGGCATCGCGTGCTATTGATGTATCCGACATATCCAACAAGATCAGTATGTATCCATATCACGTTTGTGCGACATGACATGAGGCTTTAGTTGCCGCAACTGCCTCCTGTTCAAAACCCAACGCTCTGTAGAAATCAATGGATTGTTATATAAATGAGGCCACACCAGGATTTCCCTGTACGTGCTTGGTTATCCCAAGAGCACTCAGATTCTTTGTCCAAAAGACGGCGCTTTTGAGCAGCGCATGCCGTGGCAACTGGACTGTACCCTCCCGCAATCTAACATGGCACTGGAAAATCTCCATTTTCACATATTTTCACTATAGGAACATCATTTGTACATGATGGACTTGTGATAAATATGGATTTTCCACTGCAGTGTTGGATTTTTGGAGCGGCACCATGTTTGTACCAAGTTTCACCACACTTGCTCTGGCAGAAATGCAGCTGCCAGCTGTCGGGGGAGTTCCAGTTTCCCCTTAACACTAGGCAAAACAGGGGGCTGTGGCTCAAATATGTTAAATATTCCCATTGGCAGCATGAAACAATTCCATGCAAAAAACTTTTTTTTGGGATTTTGGGGTTGTTGAACCCGAATTTATCACGAGTTGTCTTTCCGATCTGCGTTGAAACTCCAAAAGCATAGCCCCCAAGCTCCCAATGGCTCCCAAGGCGGAATTTTGAGGGAACTCCCATTCCAAGAATTAAGACCATTAAGCTTCCGATATAAGTTGGAGGTTTCCCAACGTTTCCACATAATAACCAATTCCAGATGATTTTCTGGCCCCCCACTTCAGGAAACACTCATATCATTCCCATGTTCGAACTGCCAATTGTAAAGGGAGTGCGCACACAAAAAACATATCATGGCTCAAGTGGGACCAAGTCAAAAAAAAGCCAAAAAGCGGATTTGGATGAGACCAACCAACAAACAGTGATGCACCCATAGAACAATTCCATCACTACCCCCACATTTTTTAGAACCCCAATCCACGAATGGATCCAGGCATATACATTGCACGTCGTTTTTTGGGGTTGTTGTGTCACTCGGGGATTATACTACCAAGTGAACCGTAGTTTTAGTCCGCATTAGTTTTCGACTAGGCCCCCATTGTTGGCTAATTTATGTTAATTGGCAATGTTTGGTGCATCGCCATTCTTGATGATTACAGTGTATTACACAGTTAGATCCAGCAGGTCTGATGATAAGACCACGCTTTTGAATGCTTAACTTGACCCCTATGTTCGCAGGTTCAATGCCCAGTATTTACTCACTTGAAACAATGGTCCTATCCTTTGTTTGCCAGTCAAGTTCATCCACTATCCAATTTACATCATTTGATGATCCAACCCTCATATTGTTAATGGTTGCACATTTGACTATTTTCGACCATGGATTAGAAATGGGATGACGACCCGGATGAAATTTCGCATACTTTCCAAAAGGGTTGAAACCACCAATCGTTCATATCTTCGCTTAGATCCTCCAAGATGCCAGTGAAATCCGCAACAACATCTACCAGATTTTCATTTTTTTCATGATCAACCCTCATGTTTCATCATGTTTCTGTATTATGTCTAGCGACTTGTTGGTCAAGTGCATTGGCAAATTGGCCATCTGGTGAAAACTTGTCAGACTTCTTCCATGACCAATTTTTTCATGAATCATCTGTAATCCACATCAAATTCCACCATATGTTCATATCTTATTTCGTATGATGTCCACATTTTTTCATGATATCATGTTTCCGTCTTTTCAGCATATTTTCCATACCTAAAAAAACCAGCTTCATGGGTTCATGGTCATTTCACTTAGATTTCCATATGATTTTCTCAATGGATTGGTTTAAGGGAAAATTTTAACCGGAAAGCCCCAGTAATTTAATGGGAAAATAACTCTGGTTTCCGGTTAAGATTTTCCCTCAAACCAATCCATTGATTTTCCCATGGATCCACCGATATATAATTCATATTCCATATATCCCATATATAATATTCCATATATTCATATTTTCCCATGGTGTTTTTCCCATGAACTCACCGGAAGCGTTACCGAAGGCCATCAAGGACACCGAGAAGGCCGTGCGAGCTGCACAGGCTGCCATCGGTGAGGCGCAGGAACCATGGTGGGGATATGGTTGCTGGTTGGTGGTGACTGGAACCATGGAATTTTCCTGGTTAATCTATGGTTAATCTATGGTTAATCTATGGTTAATCTATGGTTAATCTATGGTTAATCTATGGTTAATCTATGGAATAACAAGAAATATCTGGTTGGTGGTGACTGGAACATGGCTGGATTATGACTTTCCAGAAACAGTTGGGAATGTCATCATCCCAACTGACTTTAACTCCATGATTTTTCAGAGGGGTAGGGTTGAAACCACCAACTAGTGAAATATCAATGGATACAACGATGATCATTTCATGATTTTTATATAGAATGTTTATCCATTATCATAGTGATTATGACGGTTATGATATGTAAAATTAAATGCTAATCAGCTAATGGTCACTATTTCCTGATCACCATATTTCCATACTTGATGATAACCCATTGGAATTATTGGGATAGTGATAATAATCACTGGGGATATGGGATTTAATTTAATGGGGATAGTGATTAGAATCCATTGGAATTTTGGGTATACCCTATTATTCAGGATATTCTTAGTTTCGGATATTTAGATCGACACAAATAATTTAATTAATGCCACTAAAATCTATTCGTTTGGTTTATTCTTAGTTTGCGGATTAAGCCATTGATCTCTGGCTGAATTTGACATCGACATCGGTCGCTGGAATAGATTCGGGGGAATCTCCAAATGGCTGGTATGATAGCTATTCAGCTATTCTCAGGTTAGTGCAGCAGTGCATGATTAGAATTCAGACATATTAAAATGGGTTGTAATTATTAATGTTGTATCAACCATCGGGGATGGAAAAATCATGACACAGTCGGACTAAATTCTATGGACAAAAAAGTGACTTCAATAGGATTTTAATGGAGTTCATGCGGATTTAACTGTGAACAATGGGGGATTTTATGCGTGAAACATGAGTTTTTTTTAATGAATTCCCCATATGAGATTTATGATAACCATTTTATGGTGATGTTATGGGATATGAAACCGACTTGATATTGCAAGGGCAACGCTAAGGAGGGAGCGGTTCGGAGCGGTTCGGGCTTCCATATTTCCATATATTTCCTCAGAGTTTCCCTACCGCATTATAGGTTAACCAACCAAATTGGGCATAATAGTAATATGATACAATGAGATATATAGTGGAATTTACCAAACGTGATGGGGATACCATTTTTTTTTTTGGGGGGGGTTATTGTGGGGATACAAAACCAACACTTTTTGTTTTTTGGCTGGAAATGGCACCCCTTAAAACGGCCAGGCTGGAAATCCCTATGATCCCAGGGTTGAAATCCCTATGAAAATCGGCACGCGCTGATTTGGCTCGTAGCACGGGCAGCTGTTGAGCCCTTCAAGATGGAGGCGGGGGTCATTGTGGGTTGGTTCTTCGAGAAGCTTTTTGTTCGGCATCTTCTTGTGAATTCACTTCATCGACCTCAACTGGTTGGTGGTGACTGGAAAATGACTTTCATCATTTTCCATATTTTCCCCAATAGTTGGGATGACGATCCAATCAGACTTTCATATTTTTCAGGGGGGTAGGTCAACCACCAACCAGTCAATCATGTTTGCTACCTACAATACCTGGCCGGGCCCAACAAGTGGCCTCAAACAGACTGCGGATGATGGATCTCGCAGATCCAAGGTGGACACTCCCAAGCTGCATGTTCCATCTCATCATATCTTACCATCTGGCAAACTAACATAACCATGGAAAATCACCATTTTCAATGGGTAACTCCACAATAAATGGCGATTTTCAATAGCTATGTTAAATCATCATATCTTATCACTTTCATACTCGTTTCATCTCGTTTCAATCCTTCAGTTCCATAGGAAGATCATCCCCCAGTAACAACCCTGGATGGTGATCGTATGCCCTGGGAGACGTGAACGTACGCCAACTGGGACAATCCTCCCCCGATCCTATTAAATCCCATTCAATTTCCCATTGAATCCCCTGAAATCTCATTGAATTCCCCTTAAATTTTAATCCCATGAAATCCCATTAAATATATTAAATTCCCCTTGACTCCCATGTATAGCTGGCTATCTAACCAGGTGCCTGCACCCCCACCGCCTCCGCCGCCGGACGACGTCGCGGGCGGCGGTACCGCGCCGGTGATCGACGTGACGTCCATCGAGCTGAACCCAGTGGAGGAATGTGCCTTTGAGGTGGGTCATGGTACTGATGGAAGCAATCTATCAACTGATGGGGTAAAACGGGGGTGTATGATGATCTGGGATTATAATGGATTATACACCACTATCACTATTTATATCTATTTATCAAATATGGTAAAATGATAATTGGTGTATGTTCCCAGAAAGTTAGAATCATTTAATCAATCCCAAGTAATCGAAATGATAGCAATCTATATACCATGGCCATTAGTACAACGGGGGATAATCATATAATATCATATATAATTTGCACATATGTAAACGGCTAGTATCACGATAATGATAATTATCTGGTTGGTGGTTTCAAACATTTTTTTTTACATATATTGGGAATAATAATCCCAACTTACTAATATTTTTCAGAGGGGTTGAAACCACCAACCAGTAATTATATAATGGGGAAAAATGGCAATTGAAAAATAGATGGTGGGATGATGGGCTGATGGGTACTTGGAGCATCTAATATGATCATCCGATGACTCGAAAAAATCGTGGTGAATTTCTGTTATAAACGGCATAAGCCTAGTGAATGGGAACTTACTCACCAGGGTAACAAAAAACCACTGTGGATGAAAAAATCCAAAACATCCACCACCGTCCGGATGGTTGAAACCCCAGGAGATCGCAACCATCCACAGTATCGGCAGTGAACAAAGATGGGGAGATCATGGCGATATGTTGTGGGATTTACCATGATTTACCTACCATAATGGTGATACAATGACGCCAGGAAAGGAACCAGGTGGGGGCCGGGCCTTGCAACACATTGTTACTCAGGTATCCAAGCGGCATGTTGAGGAGGCCAAACTGGTTGGCAACCATTCTATCCCCATCAGCCTTTGGTAATTCAACATAGCCATGGAAACTGGCCATGGAAGTACATGATTCATGTATTTTTCACATGGCCATTTTCCATCTCGATGTTAGCTTATGTTAGATTACCAGAATGGTATAATCTGGGTAAAACAATAATAAACCACCCATTTGGGAATGGTTTATACCACCTATTTATGGTGATTTATGGTAAGAACTGAAGTCTGGTCCTTTCCCTTGGCAGCACAGGCCGGCCTCGGTCTTGCAATCGGCTTTACCTCGGAGCCTTGGCTTGCTGTGGAGATCATTCCAGTGATGAGTTGTTGATTGGAACCATCAAGGCTTTAGGCGTAAAGGACTGGACAATGGGTGTACATGTATTTCCCCAAACAGTGTGGCCACACTGAATCTTATGGTAACAGTGAAGGCCCGGTGTTCAATCGAGGTGGTATCCATCGCGTTTGGTATTTTCCCTTTAAATTTCCGCAGAAAATGGCTCTTGTGACATGTCCATGTGCATTTCGACTGCGGAGGCTCGCACGAAACGGTGGCCGCGGCCAGGTCGTCCGGCATTTTTCCTGAACATTTCTACACAAAATGGCTCTTGTGAGATCGCCCGTGCAACCCTCTCGTCACTTTGGGCCTGTCGGATCGCTCTCGTTGTGGCGCGGTGCTCGTTTTCATGGTCAAGGAGGTCTTCTACAGAGATCTTGACAAGGAGGTCTCTTATAGAGAGCTTGTGCAGAGATCTTGTACGGAGAGCTCTTGTAGAGATCTTGTACAGCAATCTTGCCAAGAGCTCTCTTACAGAGATCTTGCCAAAAGAGCTCTTATAGAAAGCCTGTACAGAGATCTCTTCAAGAGTCTTGCCAAGAGATTTTTTGTAGAGTTGTACACAGATCTTGCCAGGCCACCGCTTCTGGAGATCTTGTACAGAGACATTGCATAGAGATCTGTTGCAGAGATCTTGCCAAGAGGTCTCTTACATAAATCTTGCCAAGAGAGCTTTTGTACAGAGCTTGTACAGACGTCTCATAAAGAGATCTTGCCAAGAGGTCTCTTACAAAGATCTTGCCAACAGAGCTCTTATAGAGATCTTGTACAGAGATCTTGCCAGGAGAGCTCTTATAGAGATCTTGTACAGGGACCTTGTGCAGAGAGCAGAAGTATTGCTCGGAGATCTTTTTTAGATAGCTTGAGCAGAGATGTTACTTTGAGGTCCTTACAAAGATCTTTTGTGGAGATCTCCCATAGACACCTTTTACACATAGCTTCCACAGGGATCCTGCACAGCAGCTTCTACAGAGAACCTCTCAAGGAGATCTTGCGCATGATCTTCTACAGGGAACTTGCAGAATCTTACCTGGTGCCTCTTCTTCCAGAGACCGCCTTGACTGAACACCATGCTTTCACTACTAAGGTCGCTCTTGTCCTGCTAGCTTGCAGCCACTGGTGATTTTAGGTCCTTTCCACCTTTCCCTTTAGCATCCTCACTACATACTTTTTTGGGGTCTCTTGCCGGAATAATATTTTTTAGAATAATTGTTTTGGGTTCAGTTCCAGTGTTCCAAGCGACAGTTTGGGAGACTTCCAAAAACCGCCCCTGGAACGGTGACTTTGGCATATGGAATGTGGGCGCAGTGCAAGTGGGTCTCTGATTCCTGTGCAACAAAGCATTTGTACATTTCGGACTGGTGGCTCAGATTCGATTAACTCTCAAATTTCCAAATTATTGTACGGCCAATCTGGGCCCCTGTAGTTCTGTGTGGCGATACTCGTCCTCTCCAAAAGTGGTTTCTGTGGGGTTACAGCTATTGTTGCAAATCTCGGAAACATCACTTTGCTCGCCACGGAATCGTGGAAGGGTTGCGTATTTTTGGACAACTATGTCATTGGATTTTCGACATGTAGATGTATATTTGATCAATGTTGAGGTGACGAAGTATATATGTATATGCATAGATATGTAGATTTCATAATATATATATTAATATATATATATATTAATATTTATTAATATTATATATATATATATAATATAATATAATATATAATATATAATATGTAATATAAAATATACAATATATAATATATAATATATGTATATGTATTTAACTTTTTGTACATGACCATCTCAGATGTTGAAGATGTGTGACAACCGTGTAATGGGTAGGTTTTGTCTGAAATGGATATCCATCCCTTAAGGAGGTAAATTGATGTTATTACCCCATTCACCATATTGTTCAGAGGGGGTGGCAAATTTTGATCCCTACTGAAGATAAGTTGATGTCATTACATGTTATTACCCTATTTAACGTATTGACAGAGGGGGGTGGCAGATTTTGATTCTTAATGAAGATAAGTTGACGCTATTTCCCCATTCACCCTATTGTTCAGAGGGGGTGGCGGATTTTGATTTCTAAGGCTGATTTTGATTCCTAATGAAGATAAGTTGATGTTATTTCCCCATTCACCATATTGTTCAGAGGGGGTGGCGGATTCTGATTTATCATGAAAATAAATTGATGTTATTACACCATTCACCATATTGTTCAGATTTTCTGTATGACAAAACACAACAAAAGCGATGTTCTTCTTGGTGGGCGAACGTCCAGGTTGGACGGGACATAATCTAAGGTTTCCTATATATATATAGCCATTAATGCAGTTTTAATCTGGCTGCATCCGGAACCCATTCTGGAAATCAAGGCCACATCAATACTACTGTACATAGGTCGCTATGGTCCCTTAGCCCCCAACATGGGTTCAAATCAAATGCAGACAGCCCAGGACAGCCAGCTTTCTGGCTTCAACTGGCGCGTTAGTTGGATGCCCAGTGGTGATTTAGTGGGATTTTCCAGGGATTCAATGGGTTTTTGTAGGGATTCAATCGGATTTTATAGGGGTTTATTGGGATATAATGGGGACATAATTTAATGGGATAGATAACCCAATTGAGTCACCAAGTGCGGGGGAGATTTTTTGAGAGGGAGATATATGGAAGAATAAGACAATGCAAATGTGGAGCTTTGCCTCAGCCAACGACTATCGGGACTAGGTTTCTGTTTTGCATTCTGTAGCTATGACAGGACACATTCATCCAAAAGAAAATCTATCCCACATGCACCCTATGCCTCCATATCCTTTAATGATCAGGTTATGTGGTGGACACTGCCAAGCGGCGCTACATTGTTCAGGACCATGGGGCGGATGGGCTAGATGAGGGCTGTCGAAAAACTTGGTGTTTCAAAATTTGACCCATACCCACATTTTCCGAAATAAGAGAGGTCGGTTTCCAGGTACCTCCAGGGCGACTTTCTGCTCGGCAGGTTGGCTCAACGGAACCTGCAGACTACGCGCCTGGCATGAATGTGTCCTGGCACATGGACCTGAGCTGGTGCTTTGAGACTCGAGATTTCGAAACGAATGGTTGATGATTTTGATGATTATACAATGATTATGGGAAAGTATACAATTATAGGCCAGTCATGGTTTAACCGCAGCATCCGATGGCGGACAAAATACCAGCGGCCTCACCATGAATCCATTGGGGTGGTTAAAAAATTGATTTATGACACTGCTGAAATCTCAAAAATCACAATTTTGAACAATTGTTTATTCCCAATAAACACACACAATTTCCATGGGTTTCCACGAGTTTTCCGAAGTAGTTTTCCAGCAGCAACATCCAGGCGATGACCTTCGTCGCGGAGGGCTTGAGCATTGACGAAGTGCCGAAGGAAACCAGCCCCGATGTTTTTAAAAAGGGCTGGTGCAGCATGTGGATGATGAGACTAGACATTTCTGTTGATATATCATATATTGTGGTATATCTTATAGTGTATGTGATATATCCAAATCTATCTTACATAATATGCGTATGTATATATATATATATACACGTGTGTATATATATAATATTTTATGATATATTAATTATACAGGCATCTTGCACGTATCTTATTAATATCGATAGTATGATCCCCTACTGGGAGGATCATTTTGCAGTCAGCTCCCGTGCATAGGAACCATACATTGGCTATGATATGATCTCCAGATTTAAAATGGCAAAAATTGGGATAACCCGATCACCCTTGAGTTTTTACTTCAATTTAAGCAATGTTTAAGAGCCATTCAGAGGAGTGGTCACAGTAGCAACCATAGTTATACGTTTTTGTACGATGGTATACAATGTTGTGAGATGCTATAAAATCTTATAAGACGTTCCAACATGTTCTAAGATCTTCCAAGATGTTATAACTTGTTACAACATGTTTTAAGATACTATGCGCCGTTCGTAAATAGGATAGCCCCACCCATGAGGGGATTTGCAATGATGCTTCCAATCTATTAAGCCATTCGAGAAGATATGATGATAAACCGTATATAATTTATATAGTATAATATAAATATATATATATACACCCTCTGGTTATTTAACATAGCTATGGGAAATGGCCCATTTATAGATGGTTTACCTATTGAAAATGGTGATTTTCCATGGCTATGTTAAATAACCAGATGGTACATACATTTAAGCCATTTACCAGATTTAAGGATTTCACAATCAACATCTCTTAATAACTACTAAACCATTAGGTCTATAGTGAGTGATGATAATGATAACCGTCAAACCTAGGCATTTACCAGCCATTCATTCACCGTTTTGTGTCTTATCAAGCCTTATCGAACCATTAAATTTAGGCATAGTTCTTAAATAGTTCATAGAACCTACTAATACCATCTAGTATCATCTTAACCATATCTATTAGATCTATTAACCAATAGACATCAACCAATAAACTTCACCATTTCTTGTTGCATCACCTAGCCAGGCGCTATGGCAGCAGAGCAACGGTCTATTGCAGCTGGCGCTGACAAGTCCCAGTGGTGAAGAGGTTATGGCGGTGAACATGGTGGCGACTTGGCGACGGTGATCGTTTGGGGTGGGAGGACCCCAATGTCTATTCTCCGAGTTGATCAAATGGTTAAAAGAGTGTTCTTCTTTGTATCTTGTTTGCCATAAAACCAGAAATCGTTTGTTTTTTTTTGCCAAGGCTGTTTTTTGTTGGTAGGAAGATGGACACCGCAAGAAATCATGTTTGTTTCGAAGGGTATCTCAAGGTGGAGGATGTGGCTGATCTTGGAAGTAAGGCCACAGTGGAAATACCCGACTTGAATACTTCATTCCAGCAGCAAATGCCCTTATTGCAGGCTCGAAAAAAGTTCATTTCAGCACATCATTTGACCACATGAGGTGCAAATACGCGTGGATGAAACCGGCTCGCTGCGACGCTTCATTTTCAACCCCATGGAGTGAGCTGTTCTGACCGGTCGGCGCATTGTTAGGGCTGCATATCTAGATATAAGATATTATTTCTAATTATATAGATAGATCGATAGATATTTTTTGGACACACACACACACACCCATTTTGCATTCAAAAACCATGGACCAATCTTATCTCGTCATTCTCGTCCATCTTCCAGTGCCATGCCAATGCGACGACCGCGACCGCGATCATGTCCTCCATGTCTCACCCGATGATCAGCACACCACAAGTTGCCTACATGGAGAGGTACCACAATTCACTGTAGATTTTATGACAACTACATGACATTAGTTTTCTCATAGACATCTCTATGTTTTAAGCGGAATTCAGGAGCATCACTGACCTATCACTGCCGAGTTCAGCATCCGCAGCATCGTTTCACCCCTAGATTCAGATTGTTGTGACAGGAAAAGGAGGCGCAACACCAGAACTTGATGTTCAATTTGCTGTTCAACATGCCAACCCAATTTTTTTTGTTGACAAGAAAAAATGCGTTTATACCATTTAGTAACTAATTAAGCTTAACCCCCCTAGATATTCGCATCAGCTTTGCGCTGTGGCTAGTCCCTTTGGGATGATGTTTTTGTGGGTTGCAATCCTGGGAATCCTCAACGAAATTTGGTGAAAGATGGTGAAATATGGAAACTGAATCACTAAGATTCACTAAGATTCACTAAGACATACTTTTGGAAGTTCACTGGGTCAAGGTTACTCCCCAACTTTTGTGATTTCGTATGGGTAAAGTCACAATGTTTGTAGGCTATATATATATATGTATATATACATTTGTTGCTGCTTTAAATCAATTAAAATCATAAAACTTGTTGGCAAAAGGTAAAACATCCATTTGCTGTTGGCATATCTTGCTGCGCATCCTCTGCATCCTCATTTTGACGGGTCAAATCCGCAGGCGCGCCGTTTCATCAGCGGCAAGATGTCACAAGTGGCGCGCTTCGCGTGCGGGACTTGATCTGGGGTTGATATCGGTTGACTTTGAACTAGTGATGGGGTGAATATTTTGACGTTTAATTCCTTGAAGTAGTAATGAAATTCGGAATCAATTCTGATGCTGGTTGAGGGGATTGACTCTTGGCCTTCATTTTTTTGACAGCTCGGGGTAAATACAACGGTTGGTCCCAACAACAAAAAATGATGGTTAGCTTTGGGGTAACCATCCCCTTATTATGCCTTATTTCAGGTTTGTGAATTACTGTGTATATATTACAGCCAGATGAATTGAATCCTGGATAGCTATCAACTGTTTAAACAGTTTAAGTTATTTCAACTGCTTAGCTATGGGAAGAATGAAATCCGTTGCACACATTAAACACATATTTTAAACCCTGATGACACGGAATATTTTATCTTGCAAGGTTAGCCATGGGGGATACAGCTGTCAATAAAGAGCCATATACAAAATAGACCACACATTTGACATTCATTGGGGATGGACCTTCCAAAATAATCACAGAATATAGAATGGCTATCAACCTTCCACACATTTGTCAAATAGATCAACATTCAGAATTGATTGGCTTTTTCAATGATTAACCTTCCAAAATTCTGGCTTTCATCATATCCCAGGGGCGCCTCAAGACAACAAGCCATCGACGAGTTCGCACACTTGCAGGTGGGTCAGTAGCTCCACTTGAAATCACTGGGCCTGATATGGTCCCCGCCTGGTTTTCAAGTTTTGGTTGTTGTGATATACATGGCCAGAATGTTGTTGTGATATACATGGCCATAATATATAATTATGTATATATATATAGAGATGATATATATATATATATATATAGATACCGTAGATATACCAGTAGTACCGCAGAAGGCGGTGGCGGAAGTTTCAAAAATAGGACACCTATAGGAGAGGTGAGTTGTTGTGAATCACGGATGGCAAAGCGAATCCACTGATGGACCAAAAGGTGGTTGGAGTTGTGTTTTTTGGAGTGGTTGCAATGTTTGCAGTGGTCACCGCACCCACAACTGCTGGATTTAGTGTGGTGTAGTGCAGTTGTAGTTGTAGTTGTAGTTGTAGTGTAGTGGAGTTGTAGTTGTAGTGTAGTGTAATCAGTGCAGTAGTTGTAGTTGTAGTTGTAAAGTAGTGTAGTGTAATGTAGTGTAGTGTAACGTAGTGTAGCATAGTGTAGTGTGTGTGAAGTAGTGTAGTTGTACTTGTACTGTAGCGTCGTGTAGTTGTAGTTGCAGTGTCGTGTGGTGTAATTAGTGTAATGTAGTGTTGTGGGTAGTAGTAGTAGTAGTAGTAGCAGCAGTAGTCGTAGCAGTAGTAGCACTAGTAGCAGTAGTAGTAGTAGTAGCAGCAGCAGCAGTAGTAGTAGCAGTAGTAGCACTAGTAGCAGTAGTAGTAGTAGTAGTCGTCGTCGTAGTAGTAGTAGTAGTAGTAGTCGTAGTAGTAGTAGTAGTAGTAGTAGCAGTAGCAGTAGCAGTAGTAGTCGTCGTCGTCGTAGTGGGAGTGGCAGTGGTAGTGGTAGTGGTAGTTGTGGTGGTGGTCGTGGTAGTAGTAGTAGTAGTGGTGGTGGTGGTGGTAGTAGTGGTAGTAATGGCAGCAGTGGTAATGGTAGTGGTGGTAGTAGTGGTAGTAGTGGTAGTAGTATTAGTGGTAGTAGTTGTCTTTGTAGTTGTCATGTAGATGTAGTTGTAATGTGTGTGCTGTAATTAGCGTAGTGTAGTGTAATGTAGGTGTAGTTGTACTTGTAGTGGTAGCTGTAGTTTTTGATCCATCTATCTGTCTATCTGCAGGCTTGAAAACGAAGCCATTCTGCGAGACTTCCTCAATTTTTGAACTTGACAACGTCAAAAACGCAGCAATTCTGTGAGACTTCCTCAATTCTTGGAAGTTGACAACGTCAAAAACGAAGCAATTCTGCGAGACTTCCTCAATTTCCAAGTTGGCAAGATCAAAAACGAAGCACTTTTGCGAGACCTCCTTCAAAAATGGAACGTTGAGTGCAGAGCTGACGGCCTCGTACCAATACGTTTTGCGATTTCTCCACTCCACCTGTCTAAAGTACTGCGCCTGCCACGAAAAAGTGATTCCAGGTCATACGAAGTGCTGCAACTGTCACGCAAAATCAGCTTTCCAAAGTAACCTCTCTCAGGAAATCTCCGCCCTGATCTCCTAACACATCTACCTCATGTGTCTCTTGTACTGCGCTTGCCAGATCCTCTTCAGATGTCCCACGCCTGCCATCGTTTTTGAAACTGCTACAAAACCTTCATGTTTTGCTCACTTTGAACAAGGTGCACAATCCCTTGCGCCTGCCACGCAAAACGACATCTGAACGTCCAAGAGTGCTCCGTACCCATCAGTTTTTTGCACTTTTGACTTCGAAATATGCTTCGCGCCACAACAGCGTGCACTTTTTCAACATTTCAACTTCCAAAAGTGCTCTGAACGTGGTGTGTTTGACTTGGAAATGTGCTTCGCGCCACAACGGCGTGCACTTTTTCAACATCTCAACTTCCAAAATTGCTCTGAACCCCTTCAGTTTTTAACACTTTTGACTTCGAAACGTGCTTCGCGCCAAAACGGCGTGCACTTTTTCGACATCACAACTTCCAAAAGTGGTCCGAGAATGGTGTGCTTTGTACATTTTGACTTCCAAATGTAGTTCGAGCCACAACGGCGTGCAACTTTTCATATCTCATCTGACCACATGGCTCCGCAGCCGCCGCTTTAGTGAGCCTACTTTTCGACCCTCCGGAGCCACAAATCATTGGAAAGACACAGTTTTTCGCAACTTTCCTACCTTTTCGCGCACCTGGATCTTCTTTCTTCTGAGACTTTCTCTTTGTTGATCTTCTTTCTTCTTCTCTTCTCTTCTCTTCTCTGACTCTTCCCATCTCTTCTTTTCATCTGTCCCTGTTGTCGGAAGTTTGACTTCTAAACTTCCTTCGATAATATAACTATTATATGTAGATTGCATTACGCATAGATGGTATAAAGCTGTTGTATATATATATAGATTGTATATAAATATCTATTACATATACTATAAATATATATTATAAATACATTGAACTCTATATATATATGATATCTGTAGCATACACATTAAAAATAAGATTTATTTATAAAAATATATATTTATATATATATTTACAGGCTATATATAGATCATATATAGTTTTTTAAAGATTAAATATAGATTATATATAGGTCTTGTGTATTAAACATAGATTATATAGATTATATTTCATTGATGCTTGATATAGATTAATTTTGTATAAAGATTTTATAAAAAGTCTATAACGAGGTTATATACAGAGGTTATTTTCGGATTATATATAAAGATTTTATATAAGATTTCTTATGATATATATATAGAACATTTATGTATATATGATATGTATGTATGTAAATATATTACATAGATTGTTTAAAGAAATAGATTAGATATGTATTATTCATATAGAGGATATTTTTTGATTATATATAGATTGCATATTTTTTAAAATATATTATATATACTGCATACAGGTTTTATATATAGATTAAAAATATAGATTATGTATATAGATTATGTATATAGATTATATATAGATATAATCTCTATTTATAATTACAGATTGTATATACAGATTATATATATATAGAGATTTTATTTCATAGATTATATGCATATACAAGTTCTAAATTTTAAATGAGGATCATATATAGATATAGATTGTATATATATATATATGCATATATATATACACACGTTTATATATATAGATAACATAGATATATAGATAGTATATAGATAATTTATAGATCATATATGGGTTGTATATAGAGGTTATATAGCTATATACTATAAATAGATTATATATATAGGTTATATATAGATTTCATGTATAAATAATATTTATACTAGATAACATAAATAAATAAATATATATATATATATATATATGTAGAATATATATATATGTAGATAATATTTAGAATTTATACATAGATAATATATATAGAATAATATATATAGAATGGTATATATATAATATATTTATATATATAGAATAATACATATAGAATAATATATATATATTTATTGTATCCATTTTTTATACATAGATTACATACATATATATATTTAACACTGTATATAAATTACACACGTATGTATTTTACATATATATATATATATTATAGATTTTGTGCATGTATATGTTTTTTGTATACATATATATGTTTATATATATTATTGTATATATACTTATATATTTATATTTGTATAATATATATATATATGTATATGTATATGTATGTATATTATAGATTCTTTATAGACATTATATATATATAGATTATATGTATATATGATTTTTAGATTATTTATGTAGAATTTATTTTTTTAAAATAATATACTGCATATATATCCATATATGGGCACCCAGGCCAAATTCAGCGCATTTGACTCTCATTGTGTGTGTTTTATTGCCTTCTTTTGGCCAGGAGAAGCTTAACGAAGCTCAGAAGAGGCTTTGGCAATTCATTCCTGGTCGCTGATGGGCAGTGGTTTTGGAATTCCAGCCATGTGAGTTTTGAGTTCGAATAGACATGAAATTGACATTCTTTGAATTTCAAAATGTCGCAATATATCACAATATATTGTACTACAATTGAACTCTATACATGTATATATATATATATGTATGTATGTTATGTTATGTTATGTTATGTAATTTATTGATATGTATTGTAATGTACTATCATGTACTGTAATTTACGTATGTATATATAATTATATATGTATATATACAAAAAAAACACCGGGTTTTGGCCTCAGTTCCCTTTTCTAGCCATGCATCAGTCCATCCGTGGCAGGTTGAATCCCTTCAAGTCGGCTCGACAGGATTACGAGAAACGTGCGCAGATGAGGAAGTTGGGACACCCAATGCCAGGGCAAGGCTGGCCGCTAAATCAAAAAACCTTTATAAAAGGAGGATAAGGAGGGACATTGTTAAACACATATTTTTACAATCTTTTATACATATACCATAGTATAGTATGATATAGTTTATAGTTTATATTTTTTCTATTTTTTTGTTTTTTGTGTGAGTTAAACAGTGGTTTGTTGGAGATTTCGAACCGTTTTTTCCAACTATCTGCCTGTTGCTGACCAGCCATGACCATGACTTCCCCACCGAGGCTTTACGAAGAGCTCTCCAGCAAGTTGGCCTCCGCTGAAATTGAGGTCACCTGTCGCATGTCTCAAGAATCCTCATTTTGTTGGGGTATAAATTTCTACTTATATTCAGTCTACGTCATTCTGCAGTTGTATCTGAACATGCCTTGGGAGAAAGAAAACAGGAAAAAACCAGGTTGAACATGTTGATCGATGAACATCACTCGCAATTTTCAACCGCCCAAAGATTTGGAGTTTCAAATTCTCACCGCAGGTGGAGAAAGCAGGCATGATGACGGCTCCCATGGGTTTTGACAGCCAAGAGAGCGTGAAGGAAATGGGGCGGAAAATCTCAAGCATTTGAGCGGGAAATTACTGTGTATATACAGGGAGATAAGATATGAGGATAGAATGGGGGATAGTGTTAAGGATAGAATGATATATCCCCATATATATCCTAGATATGAGGATAGTATGGGGGATAGTGGGACACTTAAATCAGATCTCTTTCATACGGGTCAAGTCTTTCGTGAGCCCAGCCTGAAGAATTTTTCCGCAACTCGCGCTGTGCTTCGATGAAAATTGAGTCCAAACTTAACCAAGACATACTGACATATACTGACATTAAATTGAAGTTTGAATGAAACAGCACTTCCGAATGAGTTGCAAAATTCGATCTCTCTGCTTCTATAAGATCAATCAGGAGTTTACCATGTACGAATCATGGAATATCATGGCTATGGGTCGAAAATGATCTAAAGCCCTAAAGCCCCATTTCCAGACAGACCCATGACTCCATCATTCACTGGTGAAGTCATGTTAAGTCCTTATGTTTGATGGTTCAATCCCATTGTTCCACCATTTTGATTGGAGAAATCCCCCTCCCCAAGGCTGGAATAGGCTGGATAGATCTGCAGGAAACAGAGTCGTCCCTGGCAACGGCCCAGTCGATGTTGGCGCAAACGCACGGGGGCCCGTTGGACTCGGCAGTCTTTTCGTAGCGAATCCAGCAGTTTTGGCTGGTGAACACACGGTGTTTTTTTTTTCATGTTTGGAACCGTTCCTTTTTCGGTTTGGCTGGTGAAAAGAGTGTCTTTTTCTATTTCATTTTTTTTGCTTGTGAACATCCATTTTTTTGACATTTGTTGTTGATAATCAGGGAATTTCTAGGCTGGTTGTTGAAACACAACTTGTTTGACATTGATATGTGGGTTCGAAAATACACTACTCCATAAAGTCTCTCATTTTCGCACTTCAATGTTCCATTTTTAGGTATCCTTGATTTTGGGATCAAATCCCTAGTTTTGGTCGTTTCTCGAAGAAATTGCGTCAAAAAATGGGCCTCGCACTCGGCGCAGGCATCGCCAAGTAGAGTCGAAGTTGCGACAGAAAGATGTGGAAGTCTCTTCCGAATTCAAGGTGGAGATCACTCGATGATTGCTATGGAAAATGGGTGAAAAATGACGACAACTGGGGATTTCCATGAAAGTGGGGGATTTAACAGCTGAAACATTGAAACATGTGGATGGTTCAGCTGAATCATGGGAAGAAGAATGGTCATGTTACTCGTTTGAATCACGCAAAAAAATGTGGTTTAAGCATCGAAATGGAGATATAACCAACATTAACCAGCTAACTATGGTTGTTTGATCATGTTTAATAGGCCAATGATGAGCCGCCTATAGTACTGACTGATTGGGGACACACCTGATAAATTCAACATGTACATAACTTCAAAAATAGGGTCACCCACCAATCATTTTCTGACTTCAGGCGTCCCAGTGGAAGGTTTTATTTCTTCACCCTATTCTGAGAAAGATCGTTGGTAATTAGTCCTTTTACCAAGCGATTGAAAAGGGGTATTTCAACATGTTTCAACTATACTTAGTGGGGCAAAGTTCTGAACCTCTGGTTAGGAACCTAATGACGATCCATTTATATTGGCTGATAACCCGCTTACTGAAGACATAGTTGGTCTGCCATTCCTAAGCTTGCAATTTTCAATGTCGAAGTGGCTACCCTCGACAGGGGCATATCCCCATGATGCCCACCTGGCGAGTTGATTCTGGTGATTCAAGCCATTTTTTTCCTTTTAGTATATATATACCCTTATAAGTTCTGGTGATTGGCCTTGATTCAACCCATCTTTTTTTGGCCCAGTTGGCTCTGAAGTCATTTCTTCTCCACCAGGGTTTGCTGGAACGCTGCAAGCTGGGGCAAGAGAAGCTGGACGAAGTTCGCAAGGCTTTGCGCGAGACGCAGGCCGGCGTCGTCCCAGGAACTAGAGATTTAGATCCTAGGGGGGACATGGGCCTAGATTTCCCTATTCCAGACTTCATCCCATTTCATTGGTAAAAGGGATCAAAATGGTTGATGACTGGGAAACCATATAGGGTTTAAACAAATGGTGAAACCAGTTATAAACTATTCCCTTCCAATCCGTTACGGGATCGGATCGTCCGGAACCGGTTTTGAGGTGCGAATCGCGGCGGACCTCTTGATGAAGGAGGTGCTGTGCAGTCCATCCTCACTTTTCAGACATCTGAGGGGTTGATTTAGGGTTTAGTAACTTGTTCCATGGATTCCATATCATGATGTATCATGTTTGTCAATGTTTCAAAATATATCATCGAACGGTGGTTTGACGCACTGCGGCGGCAATGATCTCAGGTTGAGGGTTTGGGCGCCCCAAAATATTTCGATGTCTAAAACCAAGCGCAAAAAAATCGAGGAATGGATTCCCATTGATTTTATTGAAATTCCCATTAATTTATTGTCCGAAACCTCCTATATTTCTCTCATTTCTTATTGAAATTTGCAATGGATTCCCTGTTTGGGCTTGCAGCTTCTGCTGGATGCTGGCTGGATGCTGGCTGGATGCTGATAGCAACCGAAACCTGGCGGAGGTTTCAGACCGGGTGGCAAATGCCGAAGATGAAATTCAAAAGATGGCCGAAGCGGTGTCTGGACGATGGCTACGGGCTGCTGGGGAAGAACAGGTCATGATATGTATTAATACGTTATATTTTGTCAACATATATGGTCAAATATGATGTCATATGTATCCTAGCTCTTTACTTTTGAAGACTTCATTGTCGTCATGGGCAGTTCATATCCGTCAGACCAACATTTTGTCGTGCGATGTTCGATTCATACTACTACTGACTGTCAAGTTTTAGCATGATAGAAGTACTGATATATCCGCTAAAGGTTTTGCAGCCGATAAGGGGCCTTTGGAATTTGATTCTAGGGTCCTTGGTGATTTAGTTCTACCTCTGATTGTGTGATATATGTTTTCCAACATTCATTTCTTTATCTATCTTATCTATCAAGGTAGGGGCCGTGGTATATACTAGTGATTTTTTTCCCAAAGGAAAAATCGTTTTGGGTTAGTGTCCCTTGGATGTTTCAATATGATTAATTCTTATCCGTCATTCGGTAGTCATGCCAAGAAGGGGATTGATAATTAGCCTCTCCATCCATTTACCCTTCTACTCGTGGAAGTACCAGTCAGAACAAACGATCACCAATTCGATCGTAGTTCAGATATGTTTTTTTTGGTTGAGTACTTAGATGAAATATGATAAAATATAAAATAAAATATTGTTATGCGACGGATTTGCGGTGGCGATGGATTTGGGGTCCCCCGAGCCAAAAGATCAGCATTTTTTTGCCTAAATCTCAAAATGAAGGACCCCGAATCCATTGCGGGAAAAATCATGGTATAGAATATAATAGTAAGGCTGGTTCCTAAGTCCACATGCAAATTTCTGCACCCTGATATCGGCAATTTGTTTTTTCCTAAATCCCAGGGTACAACCTCTGTATTGCCGCACCTTGACTTAGGCAATACCCCACCAAGCACCTAGGATATCGTCAAAAAAACTTTTTTTTTTGCCTAAGTCAAGGTGCAGATTTCTGCACCCTGAGTTCGGCAAAATTCATAACTGGACATTGCATTTAAAGGATATATGATGTAGACGTAGAAATAATGGGGAAATTTAGCAATTACTTGAATAAAAGAGTGATCATCAGGGATAATATTGGTGCCTTTATACCACAGGTATATGGGGGCACCACCCTAGAAGAAACATGAGCGTGGTTGAAACAAATAGATATAGTACATACCCTATAAAGGGATGATACCTATTCCATTTTATAATCCAGCAATTGGTCGGGTACCCTTTAAGGGAAATGGTAGTGGACCCCTGTTTATCCAAAGAATATGATAGAAAAAATAATCGTAATCGATACTGGGATGATACCAATTTAACCAACCAATTGGTTGCCTAAGAGAGAAAACCAACCAATTGGTTGCCTAAGAGTGAAAATAATCATGTGCATATGATTATCCATGGGCATGGTAGAAAACAAATAGATACATTAAATAACCAATGGTAAGATGATACCCATTTAATCAACCAATTGGTTACTTCATAGGGGAACAATAAGGTACCTATCCCCCCCCTTTAACCCTGGAATATTTGGGGGGGGTAAGGCAAGAAATTTCTGAGAAATATTTCACCTGACCACGTGAAATATACCCCCCCCACGTATTTTTTTGGGCTTCTAAAAGACGTGGGGGGGGGGTTCCTCCGGATGCCACATTTTAGCCCAGAAACGGTATGACACACCATGACACACCCTTTCATTTTGAACATACGCGGGTAGGGCCCACGCGCAAACACTGACAACTAGGTAAATGGTAACTGCCGGTTTCCAAGAAAGTAAATAAGAGAGTGAACTTGCCAAACAGCCTTCAGAACATGACGTTCAGCCTTGAATTCAACCACGCCCAAAGCCATTATAGACCAGAATTTTTTAGCTGAAATATTTCACTTTAGGGAGGTGAAATATTTCAAGGTGTGTGGGGGGGGGGAGACCCCCCCCCTAAAGTGAAATATTTCAATTTTTACCCCCCCCACCCCCCCCTTAAAGGGGGGGGATAGGTACCTATAATAAAATTCAATTATACCATATATAAAATATTTGGAAAGACCCAAGAATCTATTTCCAGAGACCCCAGATCAATTGCAAAACCTTGCTAGTAGATTCTTCTGTTTAGTATATTTAATTATTGCTATCGCAATAATCTAGGATGATTTTCTCCAAAAGAACTTGCGTCTTTTTCGGTTTTGGGGCCCTACCACTTCATCAACGATCAGCGACCGACTTAGGAGCTTCCTTTCCTCCGCAGTGACAAAGATCAGGACCCGGATCAGGGACCCTGATCCATAAATTGCCCGTTACATATATATATATACATCCACGAATGCCCAGCAAAAAAATCCGTACCCATTGTACTTCCATTGAACTTGATATCCATGGTATATTTATATATATAGCCATATATCATGGTAATATATCCATAGATCCATATGATATGTATATATATACACGTATATCCATGGTAATACCCGTTGATCATCTCCTAAACAATAGCCATGATGGAACATCCACCCACCAGGACCTGGCAACGCTCTTTAGCGAGGCCGACAAGGCGAGGTAATGACAAGACGCAGCGTCTTCGCCGACAAGGTAATGACAAAGATCCATTAATGGTGCTTCATATCCATTAATGGATGATAGATATTAATGGATATTAATGGTGGTTGATAATGGGATGACTATTCATTAATGGTAATGGGATGAATATTGATTGCCCTCTGGTCATAAAAGCTCATAATGACCATCTCAGCCATTGATATAGTTGTATAGGAAAACCATCTCTTGTATATGGGATATAATGATCATCTCAACTTCAACCAATGGTTGAAAAAATATACCCTCTGGTAATTTGTTACAGTTTGCTATTGAAAATGGCCCATTTAGTTCGTTGATTTATCGTTTTTAAAGATGGTGATTTTCCAGTTCGCTATGTTAGTTTACCAGAGGGTAACCGTTAAGCATTGTTAACCACTAAGCATTGTTAAATAGTTATTAATCATCAATGAACTTCTGTAAAATGGGGTAACATATGAGTCATTTGATGTCTTTCTGGTGTTCTTCTACGCAAAATAATCCTAAATTTGTAATGGAACGCACATGTGGGTTTGTTCTGAAATGTATTATACCCCCCAAATTGCCATCTGAATGGGAAAATGAACATGACGATAAACCATAGGATTCTTGACTACTCCATTCTCAGACATACCCAGTTTAAAGCCTTCGCAATAGCCCTGACTACCCCCTAACTTGGAAAATGAGGTACCAAAGATGAGGTTACCTAATTGAATAAGAACCATTGGAATCAATATTATTATCTTCATCTGACGTTCCATAGTTAAGCACTATGTTGGATTCTGCAATGACTAACCAGCATCAAGTATTGGGTAGCATTGATTAATTACCGGACCGTATTAACACAACTAACCATCGATTAACCATTGCCAAGCAGTTTACACCATTATTCACGAGCGTCACATGTACCATTATTAGTAGAGCATTGTTCATGAATCCATGAAAAATCATTGATGGTCAACCACTGTTTCAGTGGGTGGTTTATCAGTCACTGATGACCAATGAATCTACGAGCCATTGTTAACCATTAACCAATCATTATTCATAAAAACCATTGATGGTCCGTTGAAAGAGTCAATGTTACCATTGATCAACCCATCAATCACCAGCTATATCCATTAATTAACCATCAATTCATCAACAATTAGTCATCAATTACTGACACCATTATTGACGATTTCTAACCATCATCAATTACTGCAACAAACATTATTACTAACCACTACTAATGATTGCTTATTACTACTAACAATATTCACCAGAAAATCATCAGTTGGTTTATTTTCCCATCTAATGGTTATAAATAACCAACTGATAATAACCCCATCTAAACCCATCAGTTGATATAGATGGGGTTATAGTTGGTATATAATAACCCCCAACTGATCTATAACCCCATCTAAACATAAATCAGTTCTAGATTATATTATCATAATAACCTCATTTAGATGGGGTTTAAACCCCTATCCATGATAATCACCCCTATCTATAACCCTGATCTATAAGCACTAATGATAGAAACCCCCAACTGATAATTTATATAATAACCCCCAACTGATCTAATGGTTTGTAAACCAACTGATCTATAACCCCCATCTAAATCTAGTTGTATCATACACCCCGTGGCCGCAGGTCTCCGTGCAGGTCCATGGGGTGCTGGCGGAGACGCAGAGCTTCGTGGCGCGGAAGATGGTGGAGGTCGGAACGTTCAGAACGGGGCGGCCTTTTAAACGTTTAAAGGCCAAGATGATGCAAAATGGTGTGTCTTTTTTTTGGATATGGGATATCTATATCTTATAGTATATATATATAGAGAGTATGTATATATAATTATATAGTTGTATGTAGTACACTATATCTATATATTTATATATGTACATATATGTATGTGTAGATAGTTGGATGTTTGCCATGAACAAAATGGGAGGCTTGACCAGTAACACATGCCGATCTTCGCATGTTTCAACGCTCCTCACACACCCAGTGGGCCGTCGCAGGTGGCCAAGTACTCTGAGGGTCCAGGGCAAGCAGTGAAGGAGGAGGTCGAGATGCTTCAGAAGCGCCTGGAAGAAGGTCGTGAACGACTGCAGCAGTTCAGGTCCACGGTGTCGATGATCCCATGACCGGTTGGATTTGATCCCATTGGAATATACCTGGCCTGGTAAACGTTGACATAACTATGGAAAATCACCATTTTTAATGGGAAAATCACCATGCTATTAATGGGAAAATCAACTATTTCTATGGCCATGTTCAATAGCGAACTGTTGAATTACCAGAGGGTACATAGTTTCATAAACGAACTTGGGGATGGTTTACCACATCATAGAATTACTATGAAAGGAACACCTACAAGAACAACCAACTGATTTGGTACGATTGACACATCTAAAGACCATGGTATCCTGTTTAGATTTTCTAAAGGTGAAAACCCAATCCCCTGGCGATAAAATGCGATAAACAATATATATTATTGTTATTATTATTATCGTTATTATTATTATTATTAATTATTATTATTATTACATACGCACATCATATTATGCAACCATACATCTGTATATATATATATAGTCCAATACATGGTATAATCCCCCTCTTGCCGGAAACGCATCTGGAGGAGCAACATTGCGGACCGGAAGCGCACGCATCTGTTGGAAGAGGCGGGCCGCTTGGGCGGCTAAGCGCACGCGCATGGCAAGGGGTAGGTGTTTTTGAATGGGGATTTACACATATTTTTACATATGTTTTTTTTTCCCGGTTCTTTATGGTTATGATGTTGAGATGCTGCTATTTCTATTCGTTCTATAAATATTTATTTTTTGGAAAAAAATAAGAAAAAAATAGGATTCAGAAATAGGAAAAAAATAGGGTTCCAGAGCTCAAATAGGAAAAAAAAGGACTGCCAAACCAAGATGAACCACAGCTTCAAATTTGGGAACAACACCAACACAAAACACAAGCAGAGCCTTCTACATTTTATGAGGAATGTCACTGTGGATATATGTGGGTCCACTGCCAACCTGCGTATGGTGTTGCATCTATACATGTAAATGTTTGGATATGTCCCATGCGTGTATGTAAGTAATTGCAATTGCTGCTGCTGCGTTCGCAATTGGAAAAGGAAAGGAACCGAAAGCAGACATTGAATCTTGAAGGCACCATCTGCTTGGGGGAGCTGGCTAAACGATTGAAATAATGAGCCAATAACTTGTGAACTGCGTGACGTTCGGCTCGTCCCAAATTCAGCAATAAGCGTGGCGCTCCCACACCCCTTTCCTCCTCCCCCCGCTTCCTCCCCCTCCTCTCCCCCACCCCTATTTTTTTCCTATTTTTTTCCTATTTTTGAATTCTATTTTTTTCCTATTTTTTTCCTAATTTTCTAAAAATGGGCTGCTAGCTATTTCCTATTTTTTTCCTATTTGTTTCCTATTTTTTTCCTATTTTTTTCTTATTTTTTTCCTATTTTTTTCCTATTTTTTTCGAGGTTTTCTACGTTTTTTGACGGTTTTGGGGCCCGAATTCAAAAGAAGGAAAAAATAGGAAAAAAATAGGAAAAAATAGGAAAAAAATAGGAAAAACATAGGAAACAAATAGGAAGCAGATGTTCAGAAATAGGAAAAATAGGAAAAAAATAGGAAAAAAATAGGATTCAAAAATAGGAAAAAAATAGGGCCCAAAAATGCAAATAGGAAAAAAATAGGAAAAAATAGGAAAACAAATATAATTACTGGTATTTTTTCATTTTTTTCCTATTTTTCCAATTTTTTCTTATGTTTTCCCTATTTTTCTTATTTTTTCTTATTTTTCCTATTTTTTGAGGTGTTTTACGTTTTTTGACGGTTTTGGGAGCCGAATGTAAAAGAAGGAAAAAATAGGAAAAACATAGGAAAAATAGGGGAAAATAGGAAAAAAAAAGGTATGGTGCTGGAAGCAGATGTTCAGAAATAGGAAAAATTAGGAAAATAGGATTCAAAAATAGGAAAAAACAGGGCCCAAAAATGCAAATAGGAAAAACATAGGAAAAAATAGGAAAACAAATATATTGGGAAGTGCTTTGTAGTCCTGTGTCAAGTGTGTTTTTACGCCCTATTTTTTTCCTATTTTTGATTCCTATTTTTTTCCTATTTTTTTCCTAAAATAAATATTTTCAACTTTTATAGAAATAGCAGAAAACTTTGCATCATAACTTTATGGTTCTTTACCATCAAAACTATGGGGTCTATAGGGATTGATTCAAACTGTAGTTGATATACCATCTGCTTATTTAACACAGCCATGGAAAGATCCACCCAGTTTTAATAGGTAAACGGTAAACCATCTATAAATGGGCCATTTCCCATGGCTATGTTAGATAACCAGAGGGTAGTTTTTATACATGATAGTTGTGATATCAGTGACCAGTTGACCCTAAGTTGACCCTGAGAATCACCCAATTTTTAGAGGAAAGTCGTCTTCGGGACCCCCTCGGACGTAGAATACGTAGGGTCTATCTGAGTTGGAGGGAGAGTAATGGCTATTGATATACTAGTGTGCCAATGTGTTCAATGGTTATGAAAGGCGCAATTCCAATCAATTCCAATGGTTCATTTAGTGTTCATTTGTTCATCTCCCCCCGGGCGTTTGTATCGGCAGCATGGGGGTCAATTCTAGCGCATCACAGGTGAAATGTGGGAAAAGCTCGGTGGAACTCAATGCTTGGGTGTTTCAAGCAAGACCTTTTGCCGTACATGGCCGTTTTCCGGAAGATACAAGGAAGAAAATATGGCATGTTGTTCAAGAATCGGATGTTTTTTTTACATGTAAAAAGAAATACGTTTTTTTACATGTAAAAAGACATCACTAATATCAGTACCAAACTTCGGCACAACGACTTCCCACAACGACTCCCACGGATCCATGAAGGTTGGGATCCAATTTTCAGAGCCCAACCACATCAACATATCAACTTGGTGACATATAACCCGATGATTATTCCCATTGTTAGTAATTAAATTTAATCCCATTATATACACTATATACACTATATACCATATATATATATACTATAATTATATATATATACACCACATATATATATATATTAGATTCCCAATTTTGATAGTTCATCCACTGTTGTTCGTAGTTAAATCACAGCACTTCAGCTGTGGCCAACAGCGTTGTACACCAGCCACGAGGTGGAAGTGAAGGTTCTAGTGGCGGAGGAAGAGGTGGGGATTTGTTTCAAGATGGAGTACTACCCTCCCACAAACATAGACCTAAAATCATAAGTTGGGCTGAAGATTGGTTTCCACACATGGACTATTTTCAGGGTCTATGTTAATTTGGCGAAGGGTATTTTGTAACTGGTGATGATTTGAAGCATACATATATCTATGAGATTCTACGAGATCTTTGCGATTTTTTCGTGACTTTTTGGGTCCACTTGACCAAGCTTTTGATGTTTTTCGGGGCTTGAAACTAGCAACCAGCTTTTGGGCGTCCAGGTTTCCAACATGTTCCAACTGTGCAGATCTTACGATCATTGCTAAATGTCCCCAAGGGCCTAGAGCCTGTCTCTCAAGCGAATTCTTGATGAAGGTAGGGATGCTCCAAAAGAAATCAGCCCCTACGATCTCAGTTTTTTTTCTACTGCAAGACACCCAAAACCAAGCTGTTCCTGTGGATTTTTCCCTCATGGATCCGGGTTGAGAGGATTTTCCTGAGGTGAAAAAGATGACGGATGTGGCCAACGTTCTTCCAGGTCTCTCTGCCGGGAAGGGCCAAAGTTACTAAAACACATACCTATAGTATCCTATAGGAAACTTGTCGTTCTAGTAGGGAATCATTCAACTACATCCCATTCGGGACTAGATACCCTCTGGTAAACCAACATAACTATGGAAAATCACCATTTTCAATGGGTAAATCCACTATAAATGGGCCATTTTCAATAGCTATTTTGACATAACCAGAGGGTACTGAATTTGGGATTGCTCAATTTTGATGGCCACCAGAGAATCATTGTCGTGGCAGCCAGCCGTTGCTTGGTCATATCTACCGTTTGGTTTGTCAAAAACGATCCCCTTTTTTGTTCATCAACTGGTCTACATCCCGGCTTCCTGTTGCATCTCATCTGCCACATATCCGCATAAATTCCTCCAGTAAATCAACATGACATAGATATGAACACATCCACCATTTCCGGATCACATATTCCTCATATTTCCCCATCATTTTCCGAAACGAAACCAGGGAGTTTCCATGGTTTTCCACCATGTCCTTATCATTTTTCCATGGTTTTCCATGGTTTTTCTATGTTTGGCCGTTGCATTTGGTGTCTCTCGAGATGTCTGGCGAAGGTCTAGGCAAAGCAGGGGAGATCCTCACTGAGCAGCTCGGAGAGACCCTGGAGCAGGTGGACTTGGGAAATCTGCAAAATCCCCATGGAAAACCATGGGAAATACATAGGAAAACCATGGAATATCTCTATAAATGGAGGTTAAGGTCGCTAGGAAAAACTCTTCATCGAAGTGCTGGGCGGATTTTCCCCACGCCACGTCTTGGATTCGCGGAGGGTGCCCTGTTGATGGGTTGATCTAGATCCAATCCCAGCCTCGGTGTGAACAGAAGGGGTACCAGGGTTTTGACTCATACGGTAGCCATTTAAACAACAAATCTGGATTTAGGATGATTTAGGAGATACACAATTGATAAATGCTGGTTCGCTGATGGTTGATCAATACAAGGGGGTCCCGTGGGGATTAGCCAATCCCATGATTATCGGGATAGCTATTCACCAACCGTTTTTTCATGGCATGGGACAGAAGCTCAAGCAGGTAAAAAGGTCGTGATTTGATGTGATGTAACTTTGATCATGTAAATATGCAACATACGAAATTAGCCTGATTTGTGGATGCCCAGCTTGCAGAACCAGAAGATTCGTTGGGATTGTAGCATTGCAGCACCTCAAAAAACAACTTGGAAGCAGCAAACACTTGGTTTCCAAAGTTGTTTTTTCTTATAGGGTATTTCATTCCATGTTTTACTAACATTTCAGCATCTGGGATTTTTCCACTTATATTGACCGCACATGACTGCACATTATGCCAAACACGTCAAGCTGGAAGAACAAAAACACAGTTTGGTTCAGCATCTCGCAATCCTTTGGTTTAGAAAAATGCTGTCAGGCCAACCAAGCTGAGCGTGCGGCGCAAGCCAGCGTGGCCGGAGGGCTCGGACATATCACCTAGGATTTTTTTTGGAGATGGAGACCTAACAAATCGCAGAAGACATCGTTTTGCAAAGCGTCGTTTGCTGAACAAATCCGAAGCAATTTCTTGCTGAACAAGAAGGTATCTGAGCCATTTTTACTGGCACAAAACCCGATGTTCTATGCGTTGATCCTTGTGTTTAGTGGTTCAACTCCTCCTCAAATTTGTGGTTTTCTCTGGTTCAAAACATGTTAAAACCTAATTTTCCCCATTGAGAAGTTACAATAAATTAGAGTGTCCATCATTCTGAAGGGCATCGGACACCTGATATTTTCAACCCTCAGGTCACAGCGAGAAAGTTTCTCTTGCAGAAAACGGTGCGCCCAGCCATTGTTGTGTCTGAACATGGGGTATAAAAACGAGTGGATGGGCATTGTAATAGATTAACAGTTGGATTAACCACGGTTTAACTAATCTGGGATATATTAACCAACGGTTCAGGAAATCTTCAGGTACCAAAACCATATCCAATCTTCAACAGTTGGTAGGTTGAGATATGTTGAGATCCCCGAAGCGACCAAGATCCGTACCATGACCAGGTCATGCGGGATGTGTTTGACAGGGTGCAGTCAGGCCACTTCACTGCCAGGCACTTTTCCATCCAAACCCATGTTGGTTCCACCCAGATCCCTCTGGCCAAGATTCACCGACAAACACCATGAAATATACACATTTTTTGGGGCTATGCTAATTTTGGTATGTTGAAGTCCCAACATCTGCCATGGCTTAAATCCCTATTTTTTATTTTTAGCTGGTCAGATGCCCATGTATTGTATCCTCATTATTAACGTGTTTATATCCATGCCTGTGGATTCAGGCATCCCCATTCTGCTGGTCATAGAAGTTTATCACTGAACATCTCTTGGTGGTGACTCTCCCCATTTTCCATGCTTCCAAAAACGTCAACCATCAACCATCATCCATCATCAAAGGTGGAACAAAAACATGAAAAAACATGAAAACAACATGAAACAAACATGAACATGATGATGGATGATGGTTATTGATGGTTCATATATCTGGAATCATGGTTAATAAAGGGAATCATCCCCAAAATGGCCCAACATTTCAGTTTAGTGAATTATCATTTACCCTCTGGTAAACTAACATAGCTATGGAAAATCACCATTTTTCATGGGAAAATCCACTATCAATGGCCATTTTCAATAGCTTTTTGTTAGTTTACCAGAGGGTATCTCCATTAAATCACGATTAAATCAATTAAATCCCATTAAAACCCATTAAATCCCATTAAATCACCATTAAATCCCATTAAATCACCATTAAATCACCATGTTAGTTTACCATAATTTACCCAATTTCTGAAGGCCGACCTGAAGAAGTTGGCCATGGCCGGAGCCAGTGGTGGCTCCGGCAGCGAGCTGGGACGTTTGCAGACGCGGGTGCGGCGCTGGATCCATGGAATGGGGATCGTTTCAAAAACCGTGGGGAAGATGTCATGGGAATGTCATATTCATGGATATAATCAGGATATATTCTGTAATATACTGTAATATATTTGTAATATACTCTAATCAATATGTAATCAAGAATTATAGAATAATCCCCTATGATCTATTGTAGTAATTTGTGATATAGTATAACATTCATTTGAGAATCAGGATATAGTGGGAAGAATTTTCTGAATGGGAATGGGCCAATGGGGTATACAGAAAGATGCGGATAGAAGCCATGAAAAAACACCCGGAAAATGATCTAGTGATCTGTGGTGGGGTTTGGGGTGCCAATAGCTGGAGACTTTATAATTGACAATCTGATCCATCTATAAACGGATGAGTTAGGGCTACCCCCCCCATGACTATGGACACCTTCACATGGAATTTGTCTGGGGAATGAAACGCCCGTCTTGACAGGTGAATGGTATGCAACAGGACTGACCTGATGCGCGTGCATCAGTTGGTGAAAACTCCAACCAGGTTGAGAACAGCACATCTCATCGTTTTGACGCTTAAAAAAGTCTCTTTTCCCAGTTGACCCTGGTTTTTCGGAGGCTTATTGTTTGGGGGTTATATATATATATACTACGTTAATGCCAAATACTACATAGATTGGGGATGATCATCATCGAATCCATGGGAATCCATGGAAATCCATAAGGATGACCTGGGGGATTAGTTCCACGAATAAAGTGGAGAAAATATAACCGTAGCTGTAGGGTATGGATTTTATTACCATAGTTTATGCCCATCAATAACCACTGAACCCCCGAGGATCCAAAAATCATCGATCAACCGTGAGATCTTCCATCACAGGAGATTGCAAAGCTTCGAAACAACATTTCCCTGGCTGAGGACGGAGAGGTTTTGGTAGTTACACCATGACGGTCCATGTTCAAAGGGGACAGACACAGAGAATCAGTTGGGAATGGAATGGAATGGATAAAATCGCAGCTTAAGATTCCTTGGGATGTGGAAACCACCCATTGAATCCGTCAATTTCATACTGTGTGAATTTGGAGTGTGAACCGTAAAACAATCTGCTGCGTACTTGGTGCAAGGTGGTATGTGCTCACACCACACGACTTGATCGTTGCTGTGTTAAACTTTCCATTTGCTTACTTGCCGTGGCCGGGCAGGAGCGTCAGCGTGTGAAGCAGCAACTGGCCGAGGCGAACGCTGGTAGCGGGAAACCCAATCTTGAACCAATTTTCCCATATTTTCCCTCTATAATGCTGGACAAACCATCTGCACTTGGAGGGTTTATGGAATTCATCGTGGAATTTATGACCCATTTATGACCCATTTATGGCCCATTTATGGCTTTTCTGTTTGGGCGTTCGCCATAAATCTTCTGGCCTTGGGCTTTTCTGAACTCCGACTCCAAAGTGTTGGCACCGGTCTCTTGGGTGAAGCCATGAATTCCAGGTGGTCGAGAAGCTTCAGATGGTGGAGACGGAGGTTGGTCGTCATATTTAATAAAGGAAGCCCCAAAAGAGAGAAGTATATCATTAATTTCATCTGTGATTTACTTGTTCGATCTTTTTTGGATGATAATTGACTATAGACATCTATACGTACAGTAGACTATAATTCTAATCTTGTGATGTATTTTGCATGCCGAACATGTTCAAGTTTGTGATAATTATGAACTCACATAGGACAAAATTGGACCCATAACAAATCAGGAGAGAGGGATAATTTTCCGTGACTCACGTGTCTATGTTTCAATTCAGAATGGACCCATAACAAATCAGCACATTTTGGGCGTCTCACTTTGAGCTCCGGTGAAATCATCGACAGGTCGAAAAGGTGGCTGCCGTTCCGGACAGTGTAGCTGGGGACGGGGCGATCTCTGGAAAAGCTGCGATTTCACCAGCCATCACCAGGGGGGGTCATATTTGGGATCAAATCCTTGGGGGATTATTTTGTTTGGCATCATTTGGGATCATATTTGGGATGAAATCAGAAAAAAAACAGCGAAAAAAAGAACTGTTTTTTGATCAGCCGAAAGAGGCATTCAGTAGGATACCATCCCGCAACCAACGGCTCGACCCTGAATCTCATGGCCTTGGACCAAGCCAGGAAATTGATGGACATTCGCATCTGATGAAAAACAACTTGATTTATACATTTTTAGTATGGAAAACACAGAATTCCTGATTTTTCTAGTAGATTTTAAGTCTGGAGCTACTTGTTTGATTTGCGCAGTGATCTTTCGTGATCTCTCGTGACTGTGTTTCACAGGACAAAGACTTTTCCACCGAACAGCTGCAAAGCATTGAGAAGGCGCTTTGCAGCAGGGTATCGCTGAGGTCGAAACGGATGGAGTTCATAGCTGTTGCTGGTCTTTACTCGGGTGTCAGATCAGAACCACAAAAAATCACCCCATACCAGGGCTTGGAGCCCGTATATTTACGCCGTTTTTTTTACAGCCGTGGTACCAGACGCGACTTGCGGATTTGGTCTTTTGGTACCCCAGCTGCAAGTCAGTCGCGTTGAGACCTGAACAGTCATCCAATTCTTTGGGTTAATGTGGTAAAGCGAGAAAAAATACTAGCCCCAATTGTGAAATGGCTTAAGTCATTTTTTCCATCCCTAACTTTTTAGATTTATTACATGTTATTACTAGATATTACTAGATTTACCATGGATTTACCCACATTAATCGAGTTTGCTGAGTGTTTTATCATCCTTGGCGCATCCCACGCATCCCACGTGGCAAGGCGAATGGTTCTGTGAAGGTGAAAGTGGAGCAGCGGCTGGGACCGACCAACCGTGGAAGTCAGCAGAACGGCTACAGAAACTTTGGGAATGGGATTATTATTGATAGTTAATATGAATTATTATGGATTATTATGGATTATTACGGATTATTATGGATTATTATGGATTATTATGGATTATTATGGATCCACTGATTGTTGATCCTCTTATTCTAACTTTGGGAATGATCCACTTTGGCTACAGGGATTCTTATTGATAGTTATTGTGGATCATTCCCTCATTCCCTACGTTTAGCACAAGTAATGTAGTAATGATGATGAACCGAAAGATTTTTTGGGGGGCTCTGTATCCCAACTATTTGGTGGGTGATTTTGGACCAGAACTGGAGAAGCCAAATGGCGCTGGTGATTTTCTGAGATCTGAAACCAACAATCGCAGAACATCAGCGATTTGAGCCAAGACCAGTGGCGGCACTTTCCCAAGACGTTTTTTTTTTTTTTTCGATGGTTCAAGGGTTTTTTTTCGGTAGTTATCTCTATATTTGAATCAATAATAAGTGGATCAATAATAAGTGGATCCATAATAATCAATCTATATTTGATGGGGGGTTTTAACATGTTTTAACCGCCGAACGGTTTCTCTTGGATTTGTTGAACCAATCCGCAGCATTGTGGCTTCTCCATATTCCGCAGCCAAAAAATCACCTGGTTTTCAGATGTTCCGGGAAACACCAATCCATTGAAATCAGCGTCTTTTTGCCATTTTGCTCCATAGTTCCGCACTATCCATATTGTGTATATATATAGAATATGCAATTCTATAGACAATATATTCTCTATATCACACATACAATACTATATGTAGAATATATTTATATTATATATATATGTATCTAACTTATTACATATGTACCCAATATCTCTATATATATATTGTATACACAGTAAATGTATATAACTAGTTTTATGATGTCTTGATCCAAGGTTGGGAAAATTGATTGACATCAAGCTGAAGAGCCACGTCCTTAGAGCGTTGGAAGATGTTGGAAGATGTTGGAAGAGCCATGGTAGGTAGGGATTAATGGTGTTTAATGATGTTTAATGATGTTTAATGGTGTTTAATTAATGGTGATTTACTGGTGTTTAATGGGGATTGAATGGTGTTTCATGGGGATTAATGAGGATACGGAGAGGTATATACATATATATATATATGTATATATATATATATGTATATTGTGAATATTATCCCCTTAATGTTAAGTTCCGGGGTTCCCTGACCACACCAATGCAATGCGACACCCTGTGTTTCGCTCCCAAATCTGTCTCCTCCCGCCCACCCTTCTGCGGCAAGCGGCGAGCGGCCGTCGATGGAATTATGGCCATGAACTATGGTGACATGCTGAATGGAGGAAAAAGGAAATGAGGACCAGCTGGATTGAGGAAATGTTGGAACATTTACACTCATCAAAAATCCAAATAAACAAAGCAACAAACAAAATTAGACTCACAGCTGAACCATGGTGTCCACTGTTTCATCGTTTTGTTTCCTCCATTTTTACAGCATCATGCTCTGTTCCCTCATTGATCCACTTTAGTTGCGCTCTTTTATTGGCTCTTTGTTGGAGTACTGTCTTTTCATCAAACAAGGTATAACGCCCTACAAGTAGTGCTTGCCTAAGGACCTGGCCGTCCATGGACTTTGTCAAACAGTCAGCCAACATGGCTTTGCTGTTTACCCATCTTAAACGACAGTTCTCTTGGAGCCTTTCACGGATCAGAAGGCATTCTAAAGTTGTTCTGCTTTCTGAACAGGCTGGTGTTGAGGTTTTGGTTGATAAGTCATATACTGACTTACAGTCAGTTGCAACAACTGACCGTGGCGCCCTGCAAAGAACATCGCTGGGATTCGACCAGTCTACAGATGGGTCCTTCAACCACTCCCAAAACACTCGTATCCAACTCAGCCTGTCTAGTGTTGATCCTAAGGCAATGGCCTCAGCGCTCAAGGTGCTTCGCACCACTCTTGGGATCTTCTTTGAAGACCATGCAACCGGACATACAACAGTTTTGACATTATCCTCAAGCTTCCCATCTGTCGAGAAAATGAGTGTACCCTGCCTCGTAGACCTACCCTTACCAGTTTCAAAGGAAGCATCTGAAAAGGCACAAAACGTCACTGTATGTTCCGGTATGGGCACGATCATCAAACTCACTGGATTTGCTTTGGCTTCGTATAGAACTCGGTTTGCATTAATGAGGTGTTCCACCTTCCCAGAAGCCACCGCTGATTGAAGCTCGCCTACTTTTGCTGAAAGGTCAGGACGAGTATGCACCGCAGCGTATTGTAAGCTTCCGCAAATTTGACGAAGCTGCTGAATCTCCAGTGGTGTGAGAGAACTCTGGCTTTGCTGGCGACGATTTCGGGGAATCTCGATGGGGTGAATCTTTTGAACATAGGAATCTTGATTCATCTCAATGGGCCCATCATCCCATTGATAGTATCGGACTCCACAAAACTCAAAATCCCCTTCATTGTAGGCCCCAAACTCAAATTTCCTACGGAGCTTCCCAATGACTTCCCTGAAGTATTGATCACCCCCTCCGATTCCATCGTCAACGTGTAGTCCTACACATCCATGTACTTTGGGTTTTCCATCTTGGCCTTTTGTCACCAATGTGAAAACGCAGCCATCAAAAGGGCTGACTACGAAGCCCAGACTCTCCATTGTTTCACGGAGTGTCTTATACCATAAAAGAGGGGCATCTGCCCTGCCGTATGCTCCACCCAAAAGACCGCATTGTTCTTCATTCCGTAAGCCAATGGCCCGTTTGAGTTCCGGTGGTGCGTGGATCCCAAGCTTTCTTCCATCGCCTGCGCCCTTTAAGAAAGCAGTGGAAATGTCAAAGTTGATCAACCTCCATCCCCTGCTTGCAACCTGTTGCAAAATCAACTGTTTACCATCTTTCGACAGGGTAGGCGCATCCGCTGCAATGGAACTCAGCTCTGGATCCTCAAATCCGCGAATTACAAGGCGTGCCTTGGCACGCTCCTCTGTTGTGCCGGGGGCTGGTGGTTTCCATGTGAAGATCCATCTGCACCGCATGATCTGATCATCCCTCAAAGTTCCCTTAGCTAACCTACAAACTGTTTTGTGGCTAACCCAAGCTTTTATTTCCTTGTCTTTGGCATTTTGAAACTTCACACGGTCGGCATCTGTGAGGTTTTTCCATTGGATTTCCACTTTTTGTTTTCGGGAATCTGTTGCCAGAAGCAGCCATTCTCCTACTTCGGGGACATCACAAAATGAAACATCAAAACCCCCCTCAACATCCATTTTGGGACCACTCTCAAAACCAATCTCCCAAAACCCTGGATCCCCTGGTTCACAACTAACATCATCCCCAAACAGAAGATCCTGGCCGTCGTCTGGTACAGGTATTTCATGGGCCTCTTTCGCTCTCTCCTCCTCGGGTTCCTCAGTCTCTTCAGGCATATTCTCACCCCCTTCTGTGGGGACCAGTGATGTAGGGGTATAAGATCCATTTGAAAACCCTTCGGGAGGAAAGACTTCGCCATCAGGTTGACTCGAGGCAACACTCACCGGGGCATTTGGAACGGCGTCAATTGATTCCGATGCATCATGTTCAATTTCATCAACAGGTGGTTCATGATTCCCCAAATCAACGAAATTCTTACACTTAGGGTCAACCCTTATCCCATGGACATTACCCCCCAAACTTCGACTGATGGCTCGGAATTCTCGCATTGACGCGGGTCGAATTTGTTGTGGACTTGCCCGGATGAGGTACCCGCTGTGGGATATCCACACGACCTTTTGATTTTCACAGACAACGATCTGTCCAGGTCCATGCCATCGGCCTCTGTCTCCCTTCATGTTCCCCTTATGCTTCCTCCAATAAAGTACCCAATCCCCTTTCTGAAAATGATTGATGGCAATTCGGGGTCGGCGGAGAAGAGCTCTACGAATGGCCTGGTCGTTGTCAGCAGAAAGAAAGGCACGTCTTGCCCTTTCTCTACGTGCTAAATCTTCTCGGAAACGCAGGCCATCTGGAGTGTCGGCGTCTAGCAAGGCGTGGGCAGCTGTTTGTTCATCAGCCATTAGAGACCCTGGGAGAGACCGTGCCTTCCCCAACAACGCTTGCTCAGGACTGAAACCCCTTGTCTGACCCATTGAGTTCTTAGCTGCAAATGCCTGCCTCAAACACTTCTTAAACTCATCGACACCCTCAATAGGCTTCTCCACATCCATTGCAGTCAACATCTGTTTGATTATTTTCCCATGGGCCTCTGTTCTTCCCAGCTGCCAGTGACTGTCTCCCGCAGACATTGAAACTTGGATATTTTCCTGCTGGAGATGGGTGTGCCACTTGTCATTCACATATTCTCCAGCGGGATCCAAATATAATGTCCTGCATGGACCGGCCCACTGCAGCCAAACATTTTCAAAAGTAGATATTTGTTCGTCGACTGTGCGTCCACTGAGGGCCCCAAGATGAAACAGCGTGGACTCATCAATGAAATGAAGAAAATGATAGGTAACACCCATGCTCCCCTTCCAGTAAGCCCCATCACAACCAACAACATCGTTGAAATCCCTGTGTTCATGGATGGTAGATGGATTTGCCAATTTGGGCCCTCTATGGTTTTCGACGCATACATCACATTGATAGTCCCGTGCTGCACAGACAACCCTTTGATCGGCTCCCTGTTCTGACAGCAGGCGACACAATCTTTCTGGGCTGGGGTGACCTAGGTTCGCATGGAGACGCTTCAGATCGTTTTTCTGATGGACATCCAAAAGCTCGAATGCAGGACCACTTCGGGGTATGATTCGTGGGGCCCAACCCTCCATCTCCCCTGGTTCCCCAATACTCCCATCACTTGCTTCCCCGTCTCTATGCATCATTTGCTGGTCACCCTCCAAACTTGGAACGCTTACGAGGGGCCCTGGTTGGTCCTCCTTTGCAAGGGACTCTCCCCTTTTGCATGCTACCTCCATGTCTGGTGACTTGTTTACATCGGGAACCATTGATTCACCAGGTTCGGAGATTTCATCGACTGGAACTTGAGGTGAGGATCCTACACTTGGTTCCGCTTTGGTGCCAAACACTGTGACAGAAATTCTTGCTGGTCCTGCCTTACGCGTTTGTTTGATTTTTGATAAGCACCACCAATTCTCAGGGGGCCCCAAATCAACAACTCTTCCTGAAGTCCTATCCACAATGACTGTTTTGCGCCAAGGCATTTCGTTTGGACCCGCAAGGCTACCAGGCACTCGGTACCTTTCGGTACCTCTACAAAGCAGAACCAATTTGACTGTCAGTTCCGGAACCAATGCATGAAAATCTGCGCACTGGGGATCATCGCCTTTCAAAACCAAATTCCCAACACGTGGTAAAGTGCTAGATAAACCTTTGATAACACCCTCCCACGTAGGGAACCTGCCATACCCTCCATGTGGCGGTGATCCACCGTTTTCAGCATCTGGTCCACGGGGTGGCCCTTTAATTCCGTACCTTCGCCTCTTTTGGCTTTGGGAATCTTCCGGTGCCAGGTCAGGGGATTCATGTTTTCGATCAACAGCAAAAACATCGTGCGGGCTTTCAAAAAGCACAACAGGAGGTTCCCCAATCCTACACTCCTCCAAAATCTTCTCAGCAATAAATGCCCCAAAAATGGAAGTGTACGGAGACGCGTATTCGGACACATTAATGCGTTGTCCCTCATGTCTCATGGATCCTTGGATAACCTCATGTGCATGGTCATGTTTACAGTACTTTTGATGGAGGTGAAAATCCATGTACCCACTTGTGGTGTTGACACTGGTTCTCTTTCGAAGAAAATCCCCTTTTCTTGGTAACCGTAATTTCCCCACCCGGCACATGTCAAAGGTTGATTGGAGGGACCCTTCCCGAAAATCATTCAGTTCTTCCTGTGACATCATTGATGATTCGCTAGGTTGTTCAAGATGGACATGCCTTCTTTTACAACTTTGATGAAGGTAAATCTCATTGCATAACCGGAGATGATGTTTATTGTGGAGTCGTTCTCGAACAATCTTTTCACAAAGTTCATGACTTTTTGACATGTTCAGGTTAGAGAACTTTCCCCAAAGCCTGCATTCCGGTGCTAACCAAATATGGCGAGGTTCATACATGTAAATCCACAACCAAAGTTTCTGGACTCCTTCGAGGGTACCTAAATCCCCATCATTAAAAGTGAACCTCATGGCATGTCCCCCTTTTCGGTTCACATGGGTGGTGATTTGGGAATTGGGCCCACAATAAACCTCTAGTAAGTCCAGCGGCCGACTTTGGAGGTGGCCATTCCTGGTTCCTGATTTCAGGTATTGTTGATTCTCCATTTTGCCAGCATTCTTTGGGAGAGTGGACAAGCCGTCCTGAATTTCCTCAATCTTAAGGGCTAGCTCCTGGTGAATCAACTTTTCCTGAACGGCGGTCAATCGAGGCAGTGGTGTATAGCTATCAATGTAGCTCACCAGACTTGAAATTTCATCATTCAGCTCGACTCTGCTTCGCTTGGGATCTGTATCTCTTTGGCCAGATCCCGTTGGAGCAAAGCGATCTGCGTTTGAATCTGTTGGACTTTCGCGGCATTGGGTTCCATCATCATGGATGATTGAGGAGCTTCGCTTCTCGTCACCTCGGAAACTGGGCGTTTGAGCAGGTCGACCTTCGGAACTTGCTTTCCCTTGACCTTCACCCACTCCTCGGATGCCACACTTGGCGTCCCCTTTCGCTCTGCCTTCGGCAAGGCCTTTGGGATAGGGATCATGTTTTCTGCCTTGGTCACGATCTGACTGAGCATCTCTGAGGTCACAGGGATCCCCTTGTCGAACATCTCCTGCGAATGAGTGTGATCGTGATGCACCCTCGTTTTTCCGTACATCTGGAAATTCCTGACCCATGTTGATGTTGCCCTTCGGTTTCGGAGTTGAAACACATAGTTCTGATCGGTGTAGGCCTCTTCGAAGGTCTTGCCCTTGTGTTTCCCATCTGGGAGGATCATTTGACCCCACTCTCGGAGTGTGTTCACTTCCGGTGGTCTTAGGAACACATCCGTTTGGGTCTCTGATTCCTTCTGGGGCATGGTGAGGCTCTGATCCACTTTGATGTCGAGTGGCCTGTCCAGATAGCTGAGATCGATCGTGTGACTGGACATCGCTTCCTGAACTGCGGATTGATTGGCTTGATGGCTGTTTTGAGCATACGGCTGCGGGTGATGCGATACGGCAATTTTCATTAACTTGTTGGGATACCTGACGACCTGCCATTACCTGTACATCATCCATGGTCTCAGTTTCTCCCGGGTGGTTAGTGGGACAGTATTTTCCTTGATCTTCTCCATTCGGTTCATTGTTCTGAGTGGTCATATGAATTTCATCCCTTTCCCCAGGTTGTGGTTCCGGTGTGATTGCCAAAATTTTCCCAAAATGGACACTCATAAGATTCTTTCTACATGGTTTCAGCGGCACCCCTGTTGTGCTCCCCTTGAACCATAGCATGCCCCCATCCACATCAATGATTGCTTTAAGAGCTCTAAGGACTGAGTTAGAAAGCAGAAATGGTGTCTGACCTGGTACCACCTCCACTCTGATCCATCCTCCAGTTTTCCGTGGGAAAAACACGGCTGAATTGCTTTTCAGGGTGCCAGAGTTGCCAAACCTGAAAACAACACTAGAAGGTGCAACCTTAACCTTGCCTTCCATGCCACATGACGCAACTAGGCTGGACAACCGGTCTGAACCAACAACGGCTCGGCTGGCACCCGTGTCAATGATTGCCTCATGGCTTTCTTCTTCAAATTGGAAAACTGTTTCAGCCTCCGGGGTTGTTTCAACCGAGGCCTTCAAATTGGATGGACACGGACTCAGAGTGGATATTGATTTCCCTTGGCATGGGAACGTATTGTGGTTGGCCACCACTGATTCACGGTGCTTCCTACCACAGCGTTGCAAACGATTGCACAGGTCTTGTGAGAACTTCGAACCAACAAAAACCCTATCAACCACCATGGCATCATGCAAAAACCGGCCCCGTTGATGGTCAATGTTTCTTTTGTGCAATGTTTCATGATCAGGTGGGTTCCCTCTTAAATCATTTTTGAAAACTTTTGTGTTTTGCCCCTCCTCCCAGTCCACCGCGTCAGGGGGCAGAACCTCGATGACTTCCTGGGCGACGTCATCCTCGTCCAGGAACCCCAGGTGGACCTCATTGAGCGCCGATTGCTCGGGCTTCTTGTTCTCGGCACGTTGTGGGCATTCTCGTTTCCAATGCCCTGCCATTCCACAAAGTCTACACGTGGAATTTGCTATCCTGTCCGCAAGTGATCGCTTGCGACCCAGGAATCCTGAGTTGGATCCCTGATTGAAGGTGTTGCCACCCTTGCCTTTCTTGGTGAATCCTTTCCCTCTTGCTTTGCCCTTCACGGGCCAGAATCCACGAGCTCTGGCGCGCTCTCGAACTCGTGCTCTGGCCTCCTGGTAGCTCACAAAGCACTGTGAGAGGTCAGGATGTTCCTGAACTGCTTCCACAATCTGATCTTCGAACTCATTGATATAGATTGCGTCCTCATCACCATTGTCGGCCATGAGCTGATAGATTGATTCCTCATCCCATTCTCCATCAGTTTCCTGGAAGAATGCTGGAGATGCCTCTTCGATTTCATCTGCATTGTAGGCTTCATACGACTTCTTTGTAATTTGGCTTTTGTTCGTACCCTGTAATTCTTGGAAAAATTTTGATCCCAGCAGCTTCAAGCTCTTTCGAGCAGCTTCATACGTGAGATCCCCGGCATTGTCCATGATGATCTTCTTCCTGTCCTCAGATGACAGTGTAGACTGCCTGACCAGTATGTAGGCCCGAATGTCCTTGATTGTCACACCTTTGGATTCCAGGTCTTCGAAAGCTATGTCGTGCCGGGCCAAGTAGCTGTTGTTGCTTTCATCTCCCTTTTGAACTACAGTGTATAGTGCCCTCTCAAAGAGGTCATACTTTTCTTCAGCTCCAAGTCTACCCCACTGGCCACCCAAGGCTTCGACCAAGTATTGGATGCCCTGTTTTGACTGCAGCTTCGATCCATCTAAGCGTGCAACTTTCTGGAATGCAGCGCCCTCTACAAGGAGTGCAGCTCTGGGTGCGAGGTACTGGAGGTGTTCTTCTGGCCATATTGCATGTAGGAACTTCATCTTCTGCTCATAGACTCGTAAGTCTGTTGTGCTCGGATCAAACCGAGGAATTTGGGCCCATGGCAAGGACGTAGGTGGCCCTGATCCTGGGTTCCCTGGATCTGCTGCTTGCGCATGCGCTCCACTTTCACCGGACATGGCTCACTTCGATCTAAGGCTGTGCCGTTTTGTCTTGCAAAACTCAAAATTGATTAATTAAACCCCAAACTTGGATCCCACCCAAAATTGAAGTAAAAAGGAGCTTTAAGCGGCAGCCCAGCTGCTCCGCTACCAATGTGAATATTATCCCCTTAATGTTAAGTTCCGGGGTTCCCTGACCACACCAATGCAATGCGACACCCTGTGTTTCGCTCCCAAATCTGTCTCCTCCCGCCCACCCTTCTGCGGCAAGCGGCGAGCGGCCGTCGATGGAATTATGGCCATGAACTATGGTGACATGCTGAATGGAGGAAAAAGGAAATGAGGACCAGCTGGATTGAGGAAATGTTGGAACATTTACAGTATATATGTATATATATATATATGTATATATGTATATATGTATATGTACTGTATATATATATAGATAGCTAGGAAAATCATCAAACTATTTCCGGGGAATTTTCGAGCAAGCCACGTGACTAACTGCCTTTTTGGGAATTTTTGTCTTAAATTTCCATTAAAATCCATTAAATCACCATTAAGCAATATGGCACCACGACGTCACCATAGAGTGAAACAGAAGATGGGCTGAACTTGTCAGGTTTTGACGAGAATTCAGCCACAATTAATGGTGTGTATATGTATGTGAGGTATATTAAAAAGATCATACAATTAATGATGCAAATTAATGTATGTGAGGTATATATCTACACCTTACGAATCGGTCCCATCAAGGCATCAAGGGTGTCAGTTCCCGGCAGGATTTCTAGCCGCCCCTAGGCGCCAGTGGCTTTATGCAAGAGGAGCTCACGGCTCTGCGGTTACGGCTCTCCAAGGCAGGGTTAGGTTGGGGAACCCATAGTGATTAATATGGTGTTAATGTGGGATAAATTCGCATAGGCCCCCAGTATTTCTGCGTACATATGTTATGCTGCATATATATATATACATATAATATATATACGTATGGCAGAAGGGAACCCCCCCCAAAATGGTACACTTGAGTATATGATTGGGTTTAATTAGCCAGCCAGTGTATTTGACGCGATAAAATTGGAGATTTCATGAGATTTCTCTAGTTGGTACATCAACAAAGATGAGAATTCAACTTCATTGAGGAACCATTTTAACATGTTGCTGCTTTTTGGGTAACCAACAATAATTTGGGATTTACTTTACTTAACGCCGCCGCGGCTTGATACCATTTACGTGAGAAATATACTCAACACGCATAGCTGACAAGCATGGGAATAAAGATACTTAATATAACCATTGTCAGTTGTCCCATTCATCCACTACGGCTATGGTATTGCTAAGACGTACTACGTTTATAACATGCTCGATTATTGCTATAACATTTAAGAACCATAGGTCATCGAACCACTTCCCATCTTCGGATTGATTTGATGGTAAAAACCATGGTTATATCTTTCTTGGGCAGCCTTAAACTGAAAATCAAGGTTTATTTATTCATTTTTTCATGTGCATTTATGTTTTTGTCATAAAAGCATATCATTATATGTTCATTGCCAAAATTGGTTTTTATTTGGATTTTCACTGGGATTTTCATTTGGCTTCATGGCATGTATCTTGTTCATTAGCAATGCTTGCTGTGCTCCTCAGCCAAAATGTCTTATGTTTGTTTCCTGCTTGCATTGAATGTAACTGTAAATGCAAGCAGGAAACAAACATAAGACAGCATAACGCGACACTAGAATCACTAGAACAATGACACAATGAACAGGAAACAAAACTCCAAACAACTAAATGAAAAATGAACACGTCTGACAGCATAAACATAAACATGAAAAACAAAAAACAACCAACAAGTTTGACAACATGAAAAGGTATGTGAAAAGCCGAAATCCAATTGAAAAAGAAAATTAAAAGAACAAAGAAAAAACACGGAAATCCAAATGGAGAAGAAATGAACAAATGAACATCGAAATCCACATGAAAAAATATGAAAAATACAATGAAAACAAATGAACAAAATGACATTTAAGCTGGGGGTACAGCAAGCATTGCTAATGAGCAAGATACATGCCATGAAGTCAAATGAAAATCCAAGTGAAAATCCATTTTGGCAATAAACATATCATGATAACTGAATGAAACACATGTAAATGAAAATGAACAACAGGAGGAGAAGATGTTCACTGCGCTCAGCTAGCTGCAAACTTTTCTTAAAGAGCCAATCCACTGAATCCTCATTGGTTTCCTTAGTCGAATTCCATCATCCAATGAAAACATATAATCAACTAGAGACTGGTTGGTGGTTTGGAACATGAATTTTATGACTTTCCATCTATTGGGAATAGTAACCCCAACTGACGAACTTATATTTTTATATATTTTTCAGAGGGGTTGAAACCACCAACCAGTAGATAAATGACAGCACAAGGGGGGGAAACGAGTCATTGTTTATTCCCAAACACACTTTTCCCTATATTTACATCTATTTACCCTCGCCACAGGCCGAAAAGAAGCTGGACAAGATGATCCAAGCGGCTCAAGAGCAGCAGCCTGGCAGTGAAGCGGCGAATGGGATGCCGGATGCGAAGCGGGGCCCGGGGTCCTTTGTTTTCCAGATCATGTGGGTTGGTCCGAAAGCTCGGAAGTTAACCAGTCAACACTGTTTTTTTTTTCCATAAGGTACAATTATCATTAAAAAAACCCATCATATTCATCAAATAAGGAGATTTGATGAATACAGCTGCTCGCCTTCACCAGTGCATCCTGCACTGCTCCCCGATGTTGCTTCAACTCCTCCATTTTGCGTTGATGAAATGAAACGGTTTCATCCAACCAAATCCATCGTTGAATTTTGATGAAGTTCATATTTCATCTAACTAGAACCAACTAGTAACTATAGTAAGAAAAACTGCAGGTTTTTCTGAGTGACAAGAAGCTGGTGGCATGGTCGGGCCATTTTGGCTCAAGACTGACCTGCCACCAGCGCCATGACTTTCTTTCTTTTGTGGATTGGCCTGGTAGGTGCGGTCAGCCTTTCAATTCGATACGATGTTTCCGAGCCAGTCAAATGCCATGTTGATGACGACGATCTCCCAACTTCGGGCTCACTACAACCTGGGCGACGACCTTTGGACAGCTTTCACTTCGGTGGCTGGAGACCCTGGAGAAGATGCCCGACTTCTAGCTGCACTCCCGGGAAACGTCATCTCAGCAGCGCTGGAAAGAGCTCGGTCTTGGACGGAAACCCCCTATCTGCTGTTCAGGCCTCCCATGTGGGACTTATTTACAATTTGGCACGGAGAATGCAGCATACACGAGGGGGAGGCGACTGGGATTCATGGAGGGAGACTTCACCCTTTGGGCAACAGGTTCAGGACAATCAGATCGGCACGATGGCACCACCCCCAGCAGGCCTGGAAAGGAAAATGAAGATGACACAGGTCTTAGACCAAGGGGACGACGGCGAGTTCATCGTGCAAGGAGAAGATGCCCGAGCTGCCTGGTACCAACAGTATTTGGCAACAGTGGGGGGCTGGCCTCCGGAGGAGGAGGACCCTACTTTGGAGCAGCTCTCTGCCCTCCAAAGAAGGTTGACAACACAGGACACCGCCCCTTACGTGGACTTCGCCATCTACGTGCCTTACGGCCATCGAGCACTGAAGGCCTCGAAGTTCAGAACGTATGTCCTGACCTCCACGGGCTACACGACGAAGGAGTTGCCAGGCCCTGCAACTTTCTCCCAGTGGCGAACCTGTTTCAGGTTACTGAGGACTTCACTCATCATGCTGGATGCCGTGGGTTTGGCTGCATGGCACGGGTACGAGATGGCTATAGAACGTCTATCCCGTACATACCCCGCAGCCTGGCACTTGATCTACGCGGCGGACGAGGTGGCGCGATCAGCACAGTCAAACCGCCTTCGATCAAAAATCATGATGGACATCAGGGCGGGAAAAGGTCATCCAGAAGGTTTCAACCAGAACAGACCCTGGGACTATGTGTACAACATGCTGGCCAAGGACGAGACGTTCTGGAGGACTCAGGTCCACACCCCGGCACTGGCATGGATTGCGTCGGGAAGCCATGGAGTACCGAAAACACCGGCAGAACAACTGGCCACCAACGCGCTGCAGGGAGGCATCTCAGCCATAGCGCCTGTCATGGAGAACGACTCGGGCACGAAGGCAAGTCCGGGTCCAAGCAATCGCAGAAAGAAGAGGAAGTGGGGGAAAGGAGGAGGAGAAGATGGAGAAGATTCAAGGCCTACAAAGGGTCAAGGAGGAAAGAAAGGAGGGAGCAAAGGAAGCGCAGGGCAAAAATGCTTCGCTTGGAACAATGGCAACGCGCCATGTGGGGACTTGGCACCGGGGCAACAATGTGCAGCAAAGGTGAAGAGGCTCCACAGGTGCACGAAGTGCGACTCCCCGGGGCATCCAAGCCGGAGTTGCACGAAGAAAGAATGAAGTCCCACACAACAGGGGACAACACGGAAGCCAACAACTCCGTGAAACCAGAAGCGACCGAGACGGTGAAGAGCCCCGCCTCCTACACCTACACCTATGAAACCGAAGACGAGGAACCAGGCCGTGACGAAGGCAATGAAGATCCCGAGGAAGAGACACCACTCCAAGCCGACACGCTGGAGGAGTACTTCACGAAGCGGGTCTTCATCTTTGTCCATCACTACGCTGGGGTGGAAGACCCATTAACCACGGCGATGAGAAATGAGGCATTGGCACAGGGTATCAGGCTCAAAGCTTACAGCATCGAGAAGGCAAAAGGCACAGGAGATCTTCTCGATGACGAACCGTACACGACGCATTTGAGGTGGGCCAGAAGGGGTTACATCGATGCTTATCATGCGGGATTTCCATGTTCAACCTTTTCCCGTCTCAGGTTGAGGAAAGCTCGCAACATTGACATGCCAGGACCTGACCTGTTAGGTCGGCTTCAGAGCCCTATGGCAGGAAGGACAACACATCTGCAGAGCAAGCCGAATGCGACCGAGGCACCATCATGGCTTGTCGTGCCATTGACATGGCAACGGCAGTGTGCCAAAAGCCGCAAATAACAAAGATACCACCTGTGGCCACTTTGGAAAACCCTCCGCCGAGCGACACGGAAGGACACTTGTCAGCTTGGGAGCTTGGGGAGATGGACAAGTTCAAGAACACCGCACCGCACTATGAGGTCGTCTTCAACACGTGCGGTTTCGAAAGCAGGCTGCCCATCGGCCAGAAGCACTTCAAGCCACAGATGTTTGCAGGCTCACTGCATGGGCTGGGAACCCTTCGAAGGGAATGCCGTTGTGGAGACCCATCGAACCATGAGACGATAGTGGGTCAAGAGAGATCCAAGGCCTCGGCAACTTATCCCGGCGAACTATGCAGGGAGTACGCAAAGCTGGCCATAGGTCAGTTGAAACTGATGGGCAAGGAAGAATTTTTGAAATCAAGAATGACGAGCCTCCAGGGCACCATCGACGCGGCGAAGGCCAAGGTGATATACCGAGATGAAAGTTTTGGACAAGGAGTCAAGGAGGAGGAATCAATGGACAAGAGCGCAGCGGGAAGCAACAAAAGAGAAAGGACGAGATCACCTCGGAGGCCCGTCCGTTTTCCATCGATGAGCCCTCCTACCAGAAGGGAATACAAAGCAGCCACTATGGACGAGATCAACAGGAGTCCAAGAAGGAAGCAGAGGCCTCAGGATCGAACTCCACTCCCAAGAAAGCGAAGGAGACCAGTGACGCCAGACGCACCACGCAAGGAGCAGAAGGAAAAGGTCAACCTCAAGCCGGCCGCGGACGTCAGGAAACATTTGGATATGGAATGGCAAGGCGGCGATGGAAAATATGACATGCTCAAGAAGTCCAATGCCCAGGCCGCAAACCCAGCCTTGGCGGAATACATCGGGGGAATGAGGGACCCTTACAAGGTCATGCTGGGACGCTCCACCGCCTTGACGCTGGGGCTGGAGCTTCGAGCCGCGTGGGAGGCTTTCGAGAAGAGGCACCCTGGGGCCACTGGCGTAGCCGAAACCTATGGAACCCCCGACTGCACACTGGACAAGGACGTTGTGCAGTTGTGGAAGGCCGCCATGAAGAAGACGTTGGGAGCCAATGCACCTCCTAGCGTCAGAATGAAGCCAAGGTGGAAGTACCTCTCACCGTTGGACCCGGAGCTCTTCGAGGCGTGGATCACCAGAGCAAGCGATCCAGACGACGTCATACCGGACTGGATCAGAAATGGAGCACCTTTGGGCATCGAGGCCGAGATCCCTGTACGAGGCATCTTCCCCAAGTACAACGACGAATCGAACATGGACTACCAGTCAAGCAAAGAACTAGAAGATGCATCAGCACAACTTGGAAGAGGTGAGGTCACCAACTACTCCTCGGTCTCGGACAACCTCGACGACGCCCTGATCGAACTCGATCGTTATCGGCAAGAAGGCTACCTTGCAGACGTGCCCAAACAAGTGGTGCAAGACGAGATGGGCCATGGCACAATCAGCAAGCTGGGACTCATCATCAAAGAAAAGCCAGAAGGCAAAAAGAGGAGGATAATCCTTGACCTCAGAAGGTCGGGAGGAAACAGGAAAGCCCAGCTGCCAGAAAAGCTCGTCTTACCCCGGCCCAAGGACGCTGTTGCCATGATCCGCAACAACTACGTGCAACGGCGAATCCATCAAGCAGACGAAGGATACTCCAGGGAGCATGGCGGTGATAGACATCAGCGACGCTTTCATGTCCTTGGCGGTGAAAGAAGCCGAATTGCCCCACACGTTGGCACCGAACCCAAAATCCGATAGCTTCGTGATGTTTTGCGCTCTCCTCTTTGGGTACAAAACAGCCCCCCTCTTATGGTCGAGGATAGCGTCCTGCTTAGCAAGGTGCCTTCAATCCATGGTCCAAGGTGGAGAGGCTCAGCACCAAGTGTACTTGGATGACGGACTATGGGTACTCCAAGGTACGCTCAAGGAGCGCAACTCCGTCCTGGCCATGATCCTGACAACGATGGGTGCGCTTGGACTCAAAGTATCATTGAAGAAAGGACTCCGATCCACTCAAGTCCAATGGGTTGGAGTTAGGTTCACCCTCAATGAGGATGCCATCATATTGGGCTTGCCGGAACAATTTGTCAAGGACCTCACGGATTTGCTGAAGGGCTGGGAAAACAAGGGAATGGCCCCTCTAAAGGAGCTACGCCAAGCGGCAGGCAAACTCAGCTGGCTCTCCGGCATTTTGCCACGGGCACGTTGGACGGTGGCGGTCTTTTACAGAGTCCTACACGATCGCCTGAACGATATAGCCACGGGCAGGGAGGATCAGCGTCGAGGAAGTCGTGATGACACTCGCAACAAGGAAGGCCTCTTCGTTGTGAAACAACTGGAACAGGCTCGACTATGGCTGATCAGTTTCTTGACCGTGGCTGTGGCGTCACCTGTCCGAAAATTCAAGCTGGACATCACGAAGTACCCGAAGGCAGCTATCATGACTGATGCATGCCCGTTAGGTGCGGGCGCAGTGCTCTTGGTCAACGGCCGCATCATCAAGGCCTACGCCACCAAGATCACGCATCGGGATGCCAGGCTGCTCCAATTCGAAGACAAATGGGAGCAGTCAGCATCACAAGGGATAGCTGAAACATTTTCGGTGTTGCTTGCCTTGAAACATTGGGAGCGGGAACTTGCATCCTGCCAAGTCGAGCTCCAGGTGCAGTCTGACAGTGTGGTCGCCCTGGCAACGTCACAGAAGCTGGCGAGTTCAAACCCCACTTTGAACTTCATAGGGGCCGAGATGGCGATCCAGTGTGAGAAAATAGGCATAGAAGGCTTGAAATGCAGCCACATTCCGGGTGCTGCCAACACGGTAGCCGATTTTCTGAGTAGGCCCGACCGGATGGCGAAGGAGGAGGTACCCTCCGAACTCAAGGGAGTTCCGGCGCACAAGGATGAAGCACCGCGGGGGGAAAATTTCTACTACCTCCCGCCTCCGCAGTTGGCCCCGGAGTTGTGGACGTCCAGTGTCGCAGCCAATGGAATTTGGCCGGACTTACACTGACGGATTTGGCATTTTGCAATGAAAGGAAAACGCATTTCTTGCTTTCAGCCTCTTTTCACCCTGTCGGCACATCATTTCATTTAGTTTAACTTCAGTTTAGCCTCATCTCATTTGATTTTCGTCATGTAGGCTCAAAACATGTCCGAGGTTACAGTTTACGCCCCACCAGGCGCGCCAACTATTTGGCTACCGGCGCCGGCGCCATGGACATACATCACGGTGGAAATCAGCAGCATCACCCTCCTATGCCTCATCTTCGGCACGAAGGCGTGTTGCAAGTCCTGCTGGGCAACTCAAGCAACGCAGAACAAGAAAACCATCCAAGCAGGCATCTCCTCCGCCTGCTTAAACGACCAGCGCCGATCCACAACGGCGACACTACCTTGGTCGCGGTATCCCAGGGAGGGGGTAGACTTGGCGACCTTTGTGACAAGACGAGCAGAGCCGACCTCACCTCTGGTCACACACAGAACCGAGGTCTGGAGAAACCATCAACTACTGGGGAGGGAGTGCTTCCTAGTCCTGGATTAGATGGGGGAGAACATGCAGACACCAGCAACCTGTTCGGCACGTTGGATTCAGAACAAGACGAAGACGAGTTAGCGGGCGAGGGGACGACAATGGTTGAAGGAAGCCACAAATTTCCTCCTTCACCACCTACAGCGAGTGGACCACCTTCACCGCAGAAGAATGGAGGACCATGGTGGAAAGAGCTGTTGGCTTCCCCGGTCAAGAAGCTCAGACTGGGCCACTGGAGCCAAAGGTTTCAGAATGCCATAATGCCAGACTTGAAGCTTCCACCACCGATGAGGCCCAATGCAGAAGAACCCAAAGTACAGACATCCCCACATGCGGACGTCAGCCGAAAGACGAGAAAAGGGCGAGGAACTCCGTCGGGGAATACCAGAAGGAAAGACCTCCCCAAGCGTCCTTCAGCTCGAAACTTGCCAAAGCCATGCAGGCGTAATGCGGTCAAATTGGCAACATCCAAGAAGAAGGCAGAGGACTTGGTAAAGAAGGTGGAGAAGGACTTCTACGCCAACTCTTCAAGGGCAGCGCAAACGTCCAGAAGGAAAACAGTCGAGAACATACTGAAGGCAGGGGAGCTGACTTTACCCCTCACACCGACGGCACTGAAGTTCGTGGTAGGAACGCTGAAAGAAGCAGGTTATAAGTCGGCCCAAATCTACTTAGCAGAGGCAAAGAATATGCACGTGGAGAAGGGCTTCCCTTGGAGTCATCTACTGGATAGAAATTACAAGCTGTGTTCGGCAGCAGCGAAAAGAGGCGCAGGCCCACGCAAGAAAGCTGTGGAAGTAGCTGAACATCAGTGGGCGGCGCGTCAACTCCTGGACGTTACACCACCTCGAGGCAACAAAGTCAGCCTGCCAGCCCATTTATTCGCATGCGGAGTACACTGGATGATGAGAGAAATCGAATTGGCAGCATTGAGATCATCCAACATTAGCTTCGAGGCGCACAACCGAACGGTCACCATCACCTGGGAGCAGTCCAAAATGGACTCAGAGTGCAGAGGGCTGGCCAGGACACTGCAATGCATCTGCAACGATGGTTGCGACATGCGATGCCCGTACGCAGTCTTGGAAGTGTTGGTCAACAATGCGGCGTTGAAGGGCGCGAAGGATGGCCACATAGCCTTCAATGACAAGGGCGACTCCGCCACCAAAGCAGAGATTGTGGGTGACTGGCAAAAATTGCATGGAGAGGCAGTGTCAGGTCACTCCACCCGGAGATCGGGCGCTCTCCAATACATTCGCAAGGGATGGGCAGTCAGCCAGGTAGCCTATCTCGGTCGTTGGAAGAGCAACGTCATCCTAGAGTACGCCCAAGAAGCGCTGGAAACCATGGCCATTAACGCGGGGAACACGTTTGGCAAGACACCTTTGGAGGCCGACACGGGCACGAAGGGACTCTCATTGTCGGACATGCTGACCCTGAGCAAACAAGTAGAAACAAAGGTGGACAAAGCACAGGTACAACGCCTGAAAGAAGAGTTGGAAATGTTCAAGGCGGACACGAAGGGAGCTAGCGAAGCCCTCTCAGGAGCTATGAAAACAATGGAGGACAAGTTGAACACGTCCGCAAAGTAGCTACCTCCATTAGTCAGATCTGCACGGCATCAAGTCACCCATCTCAACCACAAAACCTTGGTCTTCTCTCCTTCGACGACGTGGAGGACCGCGTGCGGTTGGTATTACTACTTGGCGAACTACCAGTTCGTGGAAGGAGACGAATCCTGCGTGACGTGCACGAAGTGCCAAATGTCTGCGCAGCGCAAGGAGGTGGAGAAGGCAGACATTTAAGCCTTATGGGTGTTAGCTCAGCCAGTGACCAAATGTGAGATTCAAACTGGCTGGGCATGCAAGGCTGATGCAACCCTCCGACCACTCGAGTCAAAACTGCGAGCTGTAGGGTGGGAGGTGGATACTTTCATTTAATGACACCTGCGGTTGTTTATATAATATAATTATATGATATTATATGATATAAATCCATCCAAAAATTCTCTACATCCACCCAAAAAAATCAGTAGCTTCACCGAAAATCCATCAGGAGGGAACGCATCTTGGCCACGGAACTGGTGGCCCAGAGCCGCGAACTGGTGGAGATCAGCGAGACGGAGCTGAGAAAGGCGGAGTCCGGTGGAGTTTGGTGGAGTCGAGCCGGGGCCAGGTTTCGGTTTCAGATTTCTTCATGATACCTGGCTGGTTACCTGGCTGGTTACTAATGTTAGTGAAGCACGAATGATACCAAAATGTTGTTTTTCTTATGGCTAATGGTTATAATAGTGAAGTACTAGTGGTTGTAATAATGCTGAGTTATGATAGGGTTATGATTCAGTGAAGTACTAATGGTAAAACTAATGTTTCCACTCCATCGTGATTCGTAATAGGGAAATTGGGATGGATCTTTAGTTTTTTAGCTGAATTGATATGATACATATATACATCATACACAGACACATCATACACATACATCATACACATATACATCATACATACATATATATGTATATATATATATAGATAGTGTTGATTGGTGCTAATTGGGAGTGGGATTGGGATACATGGTGGATTTTTAGCCATGAAGAAAGGATCATTTATGGCAGACTTAAGAACATTTTTTTCTGGGAATGTGATCGGTATTTTTCACCATCAATGATGAGATATTTCATGGGATAACCATGAACAATGGTGTGTTAACCGTTAACCATTTCTATTCGGGATACAAGGGAGGAAAAAAAATGTGATTTTCCCTCTCTATCCATTTTTAGCGTCCTTAGATCTTGGGTGTTGGGAGCAACCTTGGTCTATGAGATTCATTATTTGTATCTGAATATATATATATATATGTACATATATATATATAAACATTGTGTTAATTGAAATTGAGTAGTGTTTACATCATTGGATTGGGATTAGCATGATTGACATGCATTATGTATTTTTATGGATCCTTTTAGATCTTTACGGATCTTTAAGGATGTTTCTGGATGTTTATGCTAGGGATGCTTTTGGTATTTATATATATACACATGATCTGGTGTCGATATGTACTTCATTGGGATGAATGGTCTGAACATGTTGGGAACGGCCCGACCTGTCCACTAATTTTCACGCTTAATCATCAACTATGGGGTAATTTTTCTTGCAACATAGAGGTATCACTATATATTCATTATATATTCATTAGATATTCCTTACATATTCATTATATATTCATTATATATTCATTATATATATGCATTATATGTGCATTATATATTCATTATATATTCATTATATATGCATTATATATGCATTATATGCATTATATATGCATTATATATGCATTATATATTCATTATATATTCATTATATTCATTATATATTCATTATATATGTATTATATATGCACTATATATTCATTATATATTCATTATATATATGCATTATATATATGCATTATATATTCATTATATATTCATTATATATTCATTATATATGCATTGTATATATGCATTATATATGCATTATATATTCATTATATATGCATTATATATTCATTATATATTCATTATATATTCATTATATATTCATTATATATTCATTATATATTCATTATATATTCATTATATATTCATTATATATTCATTATATATTCATTATATATATGTTTAATTCAACTTGCAACTCTGGGGTAAAAAAACACCTCCATGTTCCCATGATCCTTGACGGGTTGCTGGTATGGTTAGGCAAGGTGACCTTGGTAAGTGGGCGGTGACCAAAAATCTTTGGCTGGTCGTAAACATTGCGGTCCTTGTTGAGTTGCTTGGGTAAGCCCTAAGATCTCGATAGATGAGGGTTGATTTTTACCCAATTTGATTGAGGCATAGTTCATGTCCAGCTTGATCAAGACGCTGTTGTTGATCATATTCCAAGTTTTTGCTGCTTGAACCTCCCCGCATTTTTGTGGGCGAATTCCCTCCAGTGGTGTCACACCTCGTTTTCTCCAGTAAATTCGTCGGAAATTGAGGGTATGCCCAATTTTCAGACACACACTGCATGCCATCATATTCTTAGTTAGATCCCATCATATCCCACTACATCCCACTATAATCTCCCCTGGTTGGTGTTTGATCTCCCCATTCTTCAGGCTTCACAAGCAGAGTTGCCCTTCCTCAAGGGCTTCGAGGCAGGGCCATTGGAACATCCTAAGAGCTTGGATGATGACATTGACATGATGGCCTTTACTGTTATTATTATATTATATATATATTATTATATTACATTGTATTGTATTATATTAGGTTGTTTTGCATTATATCATATTGTTATTACTTTTGTTATTACTTTTGTTCTTTCTATTGTTATTATTGTTTGTTATTGATTATTGTTGCTAGTTATTATTATTGTTATGGTTATGCATTATCGTATGGAGGTTTCTTAAGTCATGGGGGATCCCCAGTCATCACCATGGGTTTACTAAGTCACGGTGTAATGACTTGGATGACTTGGATGACTGGGGGTGCCCCTGGGTGGCCCTAAGGTAGGGAAGCTTAGTATATATGATTACATGATATTATTGACCATCAGTATATGTGATTATTCCCCACCTGCCAGGTGAGGGTTGTTAGATTTTATCAGAGCTGTTCTCCTCATCCTCCTCCTCCTCCTCTCTCCTCCTCCTTCCTCCTCCTCCTCCTCCCTCCTCCGCGTCCTCCTCCTCTTCTACCACCTCTGCCTCCACTTCCACGTCCACTGTTGCCTTGCCAACTCTTGGCCAAGCTCTTCGCCAACTTCGGAGCTCAGTGCGCACTGCTGGACCTCAACCTGGGACCTTCCCAGCTCAGTGCGCACCGCTGGACCTCAACCTGGGACCTTCCTAGCTCAGTGCGCACCGCTGGACCTCAACCTGGGACCTGCCGAGCTCAGTGCGCACCGCTGGACATCAACCTGGGGCCTTCCGAGCTCAGTGCGCACCCGTGGACCTCAAAAGCCAGATAGAATGCCAGAAGATATGCCAGATAGAATGTCAGATAGAATGCGAGAAGATATATGCCAGATAAAATGCCATAAGATTTGCCAGATGATATGCCAGAAGATATGCCAGATAGAATGCCAGAAGATATGCCAGATAGAATGCCAGATAAAGTGCCAGAATGTTTGCCAGATAGAATGCCAGAAGATATATGCCAAATAGAATGCCAGAAGATATGCCAGATAGATTGCCAGATCGAATGCCAGAAAATATGTCAGATAGAATGCCAGAAGATATGCCAGATAGAATGTCAGAAGATTTGCCAGTAACAAAACGTATAAATGTCATGGTGGGGATCACACGAAGTAAAGTAATTATATGTTTTTGTTGTTGTTATGCCTTCGTGTTATTTGGGTGAGTGGATCTTCTTGTGATGATATATCCGCACGGGTCCATTTATACCTCACAAAAGCAGTACGGCGTATGATTTGGGGGGTAAGCCATAGCTGCCATAGCTGTTCAGAAAGGAGTTGGATCCATAGGGTATCATGACTATTTCATGGCTATATTAGGGTAATGATTATTATCATTATTATGGCACATTTTTAGTGTCATTTTCGGGGGGATTGGTGAGAACCGGTCGACGTTGAGGACATGGTTATCGATTCACAAAGACTGGTTTCCAAATGGGTGCGGGTCAACATTAGCAACTCCCAAAAAATGATGGCTTCATTTAGGACAGATCAAGAAAAACCATATATGGGGTCCATCGGTACCCAATCTTCGGTCGCCATCTATACACAGGAGATATCTCCAGAAATGTACCTATATATATATATATATACACGTATATACACACATATGTATATATATATATATGGATCTTAGACAACTTATTCTCCAAGTGATTCTATGACCCAATAGAATCCAAATCCGACAGATTCAGCTGGCAGAGATGCATAAGTGCATCGGTGAATGCGAGGCGTGGCTTCTTTGGATGTTTTTTTTTTCCATGGTTTTGTGTGTTATGGAGATTGAATGGTGGTTTAATGGTGTTTAATGGTGTTTTGGGGTGTTTAATGATGTTTAATGGGGTTTAATTGTGTTTTATGGTGTTTTATGGAGATTGAATGGTTTAATGGTGTTTAATAGTGGTTTAATGGTGGTTTAATTGTGTTTAATAGTGGTTTAATGGTGGTTTAACTGTGTTTAATGGTGTTTCAGGGTGGTTTAATGGTGGTTTAATGGTGTTTAATAGCGTTTTATGGTGTTTAATGGGGTTTAATGGGGTTTAATGGCGTTTTATGGTGTTTTATGGAGATTGAATGGTGGTTTAATGGTGTTTAATAGTGGTTTAATGGTGGTTTAACTGTGTTTAATGGTGTTTCAGGGTGGTTTAATGGTGGTTTAATGGTGTTTAATAGCGTTTTATGCTGTTTAATGTTGTTTAATGCGGTTTAATGGCGTTTTATGGTGTTTAATGGTGTTTAAAGGTGGCTTAATGGTGTTTAATGGTGGTTTAATGGTGTTTAATGGTGGTTAATGCTGGTTTGCTGGTGTTTAATGGTGGCTTAATGGTGTTTAATGTAGATTTACCCTCTGGTTATTTAACGTTGCTATGGAGAATCATTTTTTTAAATAGGTAAACCATCAAACAACATCTATAAATGGGCCATTTTCCATGGCTATCTTAAATAACCAGAGGGTAATGGACACTTTTTCATGGAATTTGCTGGCCATGGTGGGAGTCTCATGAGATTTTTTTTTTTGTGAATGGGTTTTTCATTGCATGCACACACCATAATGAGAATATCATGGGGATATGAATGGGAATATTTGATGGGATATCTAACCAACAATATGGTTTGTGGTCTGATAATGGGCCCTATACTCCCAACCTGAACTGCAGATTCCGAGTGAGGCTAGGTGTATGCTGCCTATATTCTGTAGATGTATGTTTGTACACTTGTGCAATTCCCTAAGTCTTTTTGATTATGTGTATCTAGACATCTATTCATGTAGAAATAATTTCAGTGTCTCTATTGAGTCTCTCTCTCTCTCTCTCTCTCCCTAGACGTATATACATATACATATATATATATATTGTGGATGAGGGGGCTTTCTGCAGAAAGCAATAGATTTAGTCATTTTAATGGTAAAAATGATGGTTTTAGAATTTCAAGCGTCGATTTGCCCTGAAACCCATTGGTTGGTGATATTCTCGTCGTATTTTGGGATTCAACCAGTTAAATCGCCATTATTTTGGCTGTCTACCATAGTTATCCCACTGAGATCCTCTACAAATCCCTAGAATTTCCGATAAATGAATGATTCCCCCATAAATACCCTACAAACCACCATTAACAAAAACTATATAGCCCCAATCCCCAAAACATCGCTATGCTTCCTCTAGTCCAAGTGTGGCTTCACTTGGAGGCTGCTGCCGCGCAAACCAAGAAGGCCATCACGCAGGCTGCGGTGAAGCGAAATGGAAGATTCAGATAGATTGATTCTGCTTTCGAGATCCTATGCTGGATATATGTTGGTATATTCTTTCATGGATTATGTTTCAAATCCTAATACGCACATAGCTGGATGAATTATCATGACCTCACTGTGACGTTACTGGCATGATGGTGCGTAGCGGGTAACTGCCCCAGAATAGCCCCAGAATTTGTTATAATTTACTCATCCATATATTTACATGCACATCCATTTGTGTACATATTTGATACAAATAATAAACAGACAAACCAAGATAAATAAACAATAAACATAAAAAGTGGACATATATATATATATATATTCATCATACATACAGATATGATTATAGATGTTCCCATTAAAATCCCATCCCAATCACACCCATTCTATGATCCCAAATATGTGTATAACCCCCCTGCTTAACCATGGTTTATGGGGGCTGATTAATACTAGGGGCACGGGATTATTACTATTGCATTTCCATTTCCATTATGAAAATGGACATATCATGAAATATCCATTAGCCATCTATGAGTACCATTACATACCATATAATATCGATTATAATCACCATTATCCGCTGTTAGCCGTAATCCACTATTAGATTGTACCAATTATATATCCGTCATCATACCCGTAATATCCCTATACTTCATTATATTTCTCATTATCAAATTATCGCCATCATCGAAGGAAGTTTAGAAGTGAAACTTCCGACAATATGGACAGTTGAAAAGCAGAGGTGAGAAGAGTCAGAAGAGACAAGATCAGAAGAAAGAAGATAGATGCAGATGCGCGAAAGGGTACGAAAGTCGCGAAGCACTATGTTTTTCCAATGATTTGGGGCTCCGGAGGGTCGAAAAGTAGGCTCGCTAAAGCGGCGGGTGCGGAGCCAGCTGGCCAGATGAGAGATGAAAAAGTGCACGCCGTTTTGGCGCGAAGCACATTTCCAAGTCAAAATGTACAAAACACACCAGGGTCGGAGCACTTTTGGAAGTTGAGATGTTGAAAAAGTGCACGCCGTTGTGGCGCGAAGTACATTTCCAAGTCAAAATGTACAAAACACAACAGGGTCGGAGCACTTTTGGAAGTTGCGATGTCGAAAAAGTGCACGCCGTTGTGGCGCGAAGCAGATTTCGAAGTCAAAATGTACAAAGCACACCATGCTCGGACCACTTTTGGAAGTTCAGCACGCCGTTGTGGCGCGAAGCACATTTCCAAGTCAAATGTACAAAACACACCATGCTCGGACCACTTTTGGAAGTTGCGATGTCGAAAAAGTGTACGCCGTTGTGGCGCGAAGCAGATTTCGAAGTCAAAATGTACAAAGCACACCAGGGTCGGAGCACTTTTGGAAGTTCAGCACGCCGTTGTGGCGCGAAGCACATTTCCAAGTCAAAATGTACAAAACACACCATGCTCGGACAACTTTTGGAAGTTGCGATTTGGAATTTTGCACGACGTTGTGGCGCGAAGCAGATTTCGAAGTCAAAATGTGCAAAACACACCATGCTCGGACCACTTTTGGAAGTTCAGCACGCCGTTGTGGCGCAACTACAACTACAACTACAACTACAACTACAACTACAACTACAACTACACAACAAGTACAACTAGAACTACAACTACAACAACTACAGCTACAACAACAACAACAGCAACAACAACAACAACTACAACAACAGCAACAACAACAACAACTACAACTACAACAACTACAACAACAACAACAACTACAACAACAACAACTACTACTACTACTACTCCTACTACTCCTACTACTCCTACTACTCCTACTACTCCTACTACTCCTACTACTCCTACTCCTACTCCTACTCCTACTACTACTACTACTACAACACTACACAACTACAACCACACAACAACGACAGCTACAACAACAACAACAACAACTACTACAACAACTACAACTACAACAACTACAACTACAACTACAAAACAACTACAGCTACAACTATATGACTGCAACTACACTACACTAATTACATTACACCACAACTACAACTCCACTACGCTACAACTACAACTACAGTTGCAGTACATCACACTACATCCAGCAGTTGTGGGTGAGGTGACCACTGCAACCATTGCAACCACTCCAGCAAACACAACTCCAACCACCTTTCGGTCAATCAGTGGATTCGCTCTGCCATCCGTGATTCACAACAACCAACGTCTCCTATAGGTTTCCTATTTTTGAAACTTCCGCCACCGCCTTGTGCGGTACTACTGGTATATTTCCACTATTTACAATGGTTTCCCTATAAAATTTGCTGCAATCCCTATAGAAATAAATGGCTAGAATTCCCATAATATTCTCATATATTCCTATTATCTTCCCATACATAATACATATGTATGTATATATATATATATATGTATATTATAATATAATATAAATATATATATATATGTCATATATTCCATATGGATTCCCTATTAAAAATGATTGATACCCATGACGTAGCCACATCACATCGCAGCTCCGTCAGGCTCGCAGCTCCACCATGGAGAACTTGGCCAAGGCCAAGAGCTTCGCGGAGAGCGTCAGCAGCGGATGTAGCAAGGACGTGAATTGACGGATGGTGGTTGAATGCTGGCAAAAAACCAACAGAAATGGTGACACCAGAAAAAAAAATTGGGAACAAATAACATCAAATAACCAGGAAGTGACATTTTGAAACAGCTCATGGGGATTAGGCCAGGAAACGTTGGGATTGGACGGGACGGGACTGGTGCTGGGATGATGGCAGGAGTTGATGGCGCTCCAGAAACGCTTGGATCAGCCGCTGGGCTCAGCTGTGCACCAAAAGAGGGGCATTTTTTGCAAAGCAGATTCTGGTTGGTGGTTTGGAACATGAATTTTATTTTTCCATATATTGGGAATAATAATCCCAACTGACTTTCATATTTTTGAGAGGGTTCAAACCACCAACCAGGATTGATTTTGACATATTTTGACATTAGAACTTTGGAGATTTGGCTTAGAGACCCCGCTCTTACCCGCTTGCTGGAGTCAGAACGTCAATTGTTGAAAACAATCATCTGAGTCCTCTTTCGATGAGCGTAAGAGTTGGTATCATCGGCGCTGGGCCTGCTGGTCTGGTTCTTGCGGCCACATTGGCCAAAAGATCCACGGCATTTTCCGTGAAGGTCTTCGAACAAGGAGCCGATCATAGAGCTGCCGCGAGCTACGATCCCAACCGATCCTACACGATTGACATCACTGGTCATGGTGCTTTGGCGGTGAAGGCTCTTGGTGCCGTCCAGATCTTTGATGAAAAACTGATTAAGTTCACAGGCCTCCGAATTCTATGCACTGGTGAAGACAATTGGTTTGATGGCAAAGGCTGGACTGGGTCACGGGGAGACATTTGCAAAACCTTGCTTGGTGTCCTCGAGGGCTTGGCTTCTCCGACTGTGGAAGTGCACTTCGACACCACAGCTGAGATCTTGGACATGATGAAAGGCACTGTGCAGACCACCTCAAAGACCGGAGAGCGTGTGGTTCATGACTTTGATGTGGTGGTTGGGGCAGATGGAGCAGGAGGCAAACTCCGTGGTGCCATTTCCAAGCTTCCAAGTTTTGCCATGGAGTCTATCAACATGGAGAACTACAGCATCATGCTCCACATGGATCAAAACACTTCCGAACTTGATCCGGGGTTGCTGCACATTTTTGGCGTTGACCCGCTCCTGGTTGCGGGTGCAATCAATGGTAAAGGGGGCAAATCTGATCCTTTGTGGTTTTGCCAGGTTGGCTTCAAAGGTCTTGAGAAGGGAAAGCGCTTGCAAGAAGCTTCTTTGGAAGATCTGAAGACCAAATTGAAGAAGAGTGGCTGGCCCAAACGCACCGACCTCCTTCGCTACGTCAGTGACAAATCGCTGCAGGAGTTCCAGTCCCGAATGCCTCAGGCGACGGGCAAAGGCAAAGTGGTGTCCCCATGGTCCCACGGGCGCTGTGTGCTGGTGGGCGATGCCGGAGCTCCGTTCCCACCCATCGGTCAACTGGCTTTGCTTCACGCATGGGTCATTAAATGTCCCCATTGAACATCACCCAACCATTAAGTATATGGTCTATAATGGCTACTATAAGGTGATGTCCAATATACCCAAAATGGGACAGTTACCAACCCCTGTCACGGCGCTCTCTTCTTTTCGGAGAAAATTATAGATTAATTATGATTAATTGATATATCATGATATAAAGCAGTGGTGTTTTTCCAATGTTTCAGTCAGTTTCTGTTTTTCCCCTTGAAAGCTTGTCCTGAATCCATGGCCCAAGGTCAAGGGGTGAATTGTGGAATGGAAGGGGCATTGGTTCTTGGGGAAGCACTGGTGGAAGGACTTGCTCCCAGCTCTGGACCACTTGAGGCTGGGATAGGGTGAAATCCTTGGTTGAATGCGGTTGTAATTAGTAATCCCACCGGCCCATGACTAAGCCGCAAGCAGTGTGATGGGCCATGACCTGCCAGGTGGCGGTGACCAAAGCATTTCAGGCCTTTACGGCAAAATGGAAGCCACAGGCTGATGCTGTCACTGAAATTTCTACTTTGACGGATGTGGGCAGGTTAACCAATCCGCTAGAAGTTGCCAAAACTATCATTCTGACGAAGATCAACTGCGGTGGACTGAAGTTGGCAAAAGAGGAAGGTCTCACATATCAAGAGGCTTTGGCAGCGCACAAATCCGGTGTCAGGATGCTTCGGCTCTTCTTTGGCGTGCCAGCTCTCCTGCTGACCGCTGTAGCAGTCAGGAAATTCTTTAAGCCCTGATTGTGTGCTTGAAGTCTCACAAGGCGGCTTTTGGGCCGCAATCGATTCAATGACTTGCACCTGTATAGCAGACAGCAAGATCGGCATTCTCAATTTGGATCGATGGAGAACAAAAAGAGCAGGCTATGCTGCATGCTAAATCGCAAGCAGAACATCCCAGAATTCACAAAATTGGAGCATAAATCCCTACTTCCACACGTCTCCAGTACCTTTGTACAACAGTACAAGTTTATATTATATATCTATATAGATATGTGTATATATATAATATATATACAATATACGTGTATATATATATATATCTATCTATATATGTGCACATATCTTTATCCATATGGGATCTACAATCTTTCATCTGATCATGCCTGAAAACTAAGGATGGCCGCAAAGCTCACAGCGCTCAACAAGGCCAGTAGCTCCATTCAAAGATGGAACTGTTCGGTTGGTTGAAGGGAAATAACTCCAGGAAACCGTGTTTTATTTCTACTTTTTCTACGTATGACTTAAAAAAATGGCAGGATTACCCTGTTATTTTGAAACAGACACCTGTTCTGGGATATGATAAACCAACAAACAATGAGAAAACAAGAGGATGTAGCCAACAACGATGGAACTAGGAAGGAACATGAAGGAACTCCTGGAAGTAGAACCGTCAAAACATGGAGGAATCATCAAAGGAAACTGAGGATCTAATCCAAATTACCATCCGGTCATCAGCTCCGTGGCTTGCTGGAAAATCCCCCATGAGGATGATTTTCCCAGCTAGAAACCTCCATTTTTCTCGAGGATTTCCCAACGTGCCAGAGTTTTTTTGCCTTCAGGGGATCCAAGCCCCCTTGAAACCCAAAGATTGAAAGGTGAGGCTACCTGAAACAGGGGGTTGTTTAAATCCCAACACCCCAGTGATTTTTCTTACAATAATATCATATTATGTCCCTTCATGTTCCAATTTTGGTTGTTTACTCCCGATCAATATCCCCCTGATATTTCCATTGTGGTTGGTCAAATCCATTAGTGAGTTATATTGCTCACCTACGAATGGATATTAGGTATTGTTAGTTATATCCTATTACTTATAGAAATCCTATGAATTTAGGAACTATAGCTTATAGTTCTATCCTATTATTTGTAGATATATCCTATCATTTATAGAAATCCTATAAGTTATATCCCTTTAGGAACCATTAGTCTATATAACCCTCAAGAAAAACGTGGAGACTGCAGGAGACCACCGAGCGAAAACGCAAGGCCGGTGATGGAAACTGCACTTTGAATAGGGACAATGATCATTCACCAGTGGATCTAGGGTGTTTCCCTTTGAAAATCAGAGAAACCTAAATCCTGGGAGGATCCCGAAGGGATCCTGGGTATGGATTGAAATGACTGGCCCCTTTTGGGATGGTGAAATTAATGTTCAATACACCAAAAGTGCCGAATTTCGTGGCAACAGCAGGTGACACTGATGGTGATGCCTTAAAAATGGACCTTTCCCCTGTGCCTAGCCGCCTAGCCAACCCAACAGTTTAAAATTAAATCCGGAGTTATCTCAAGACGGACGTGCCTCAGCAGCAGGTGCAGTTGCAGAATATCAAAGAGAAAATCTCTTCAGTAGAAGAAGCAGCAACTTGGTTTCATCGGACCTGATGTGGAGGGTGTGCAAGAATTGTCACTTGAGCAGTGCCAAAACACGAATTCATAGATTATCATAGAGGTTCGACTAGCTAGCTGCTAGCTATAAAGGGATGATCATATTCCATTGTGTGAACCAGTACAATGTTTTCTTATACTATACCTACAAAAGCAGCATTGCCCCTTCGATGGATGACGCAGTTTTTGAGTGGCAGTAAACATGATTTCTTTGGTCAGTTTTCCAATCCAGTACCAAGGTCAAGAAATGCAGACTATTCCCAACAGTCTTTTCCCATCATTATTGCTCTTCGAACATCGTTATTCCATGCATTTTCCCTTCCAAATCCATTGCGCTTGGAAAATGATTGGAACATCTTTCCTAATTCCATCATTATGCCAAGACTATTAATTATAGTCATTCTCAAAAATCATTCTTCCCAACAGCAATCTCCAACAGTATTCCAAGGTCAAGAACTTCGAAGAGAAAGTCAAAGGTTTGAACGACACCGAAATCTTGCTGTCCCTCCAGAGCTCCGAGGTGGCCAGGGAATCGACCTGGTGGCTACACCTGGAATCAGCATCTGGAAATTACGTTTTTTTTTTCCCCTATGATTTTTACATTTTTCTATGATTTTCTATTAAGATATAATAGATATTCTATGATGTCTTCAATCATTCTATGGGATTTTTGATGATTTTTGGGTGAAATTCGGTGGTCAACTAGCAAAAGATGTGGCTCAGGAGGCGATTGCACGTTTCAAGGAAGCCACCAGCTTGGAGGATGCTGCCAAGGTGGGCGGCCCGGATATTGGTTTTTGGAGTCTTAGAGATAGAATAAGATAGATGTGTTTTGGATATCTAAGATATTTTTATGGAATTTTATGGAATTTTATGGATATCTATGGATATCTAAGATTTGCCATGAGATATCACAAGTTGATACCTTTGATGCTTAAACACTATGATAGGGAAGAGATCATCAGTCACTTGGTGCAATCCCCGGTCCCCAATTCACGTGGACCGCCCAGGGCCCAGGGCAAGCCAGTTGGATTGGTCTTGGCCAGGGAACATCAAACCAGGAAACCCGGGTTTTTCTCATGGAAATATGGGGGTTTCCTCCAGGCTTTTCTGTAATTCTTGAAGCAAGGTTTCGATGGCATCAATTTGGGCAAATTCAACGGGGTAAATTCACCCGTATCCGTAATATCCATCATTCTCCCTGTTAAATTTGCTATAAATTGGGTACATGTATATTATTATTGGGTATATATATATATATACACATATTATATATATAATATAAGTATATATATGTTTTTTTTTCACAACTGCACATAGCTGCGAGTAACGCTGCGGCAGATTCCTTGTGAATTTCACATGTATATATCCCATTTCCAGAAAGACCCATACGACCCAGCAATGCATTCCTGGCATGCGCAGGTGTTGATCGACGGTGCCCGGAAAATTTTGGCCAAGGCCAATAGCGATGCTAAGACGCTCTCAGAGGTGCCATTGTGAGCTGAGCAGCGATCCTTGTCACCCTGGTAAACTAACATAGCTATGGAAAATCACCATTATTAATAGGTAAATCAACTATAAATGGGCCATTTTCAATAGCTATGTTAAAGTACCAGAGGGTATATATGGCGGATTATCCAACGGGGAATCCCCAGAATTCTCGTTCTTAACCAATGGAATGACAATGGACAGTTCCCCCCGAAGCCAAAGAGTTTGAGTCGCCCGTTGCGACATGATCGTGGGGATATGATGGGAGATAGAACGAACGATTTTATGGGGGATATGATGCGGATTTAGCAACATTTTATTGGGCTATAATGGGCATACGGTGGGGATAACATGGAATATATAAGCAACAAGATGGCTGTTTGAGTGTGTCCAACCATTGAGTATTTACACCCCAAATGGCAATTTTCGCAGGAACCATGATGATCCGCCATTGGATTAGCGGCTCGCGCATTTTCAGACAACCCAGAAGCGGCGAAAAAACAATGGTTAGTTCACCCAGTTGCGTATGAGATGTATGGGGTATCTCTAGTCCAGTCATCTGTATGGAACATGCATAGAGTTTTCAGCTGCGACGCGCATCCAAGTTGGATTATTATGAAAAACTAGCAGCTACTTTGGTGTGACCCAAGGTCCAGGTTGAACTGAGAATGGCATATGACTTGTCCTGGGTTGCTCAAAGCCTTGGAACCCTGTAGTTCACACCATGACAGCCAGTCATGGTGGTTCATCCTATGGTATTTCAATGTATTTCATAGGCGTTGACCTATTCCCATATACTTATATAGACTATCTTACACGTGTGTTTTCTTGGGCTTGGAGTAAAAGTGGAAGCCCCCACTTTCCAAAAGTTCAACTTTCGCTCCGACCTGGCACTCGCCAGTCACAGCGCGTGCCTTTCATGACTGAAATGGGGAAGCTTCAGCCCAGATCTCAGTGGGATTCGGGCCTTGGATATATATCTTGGATCGTAAACCGACCAGATGACATCATGAAAGGACCAAGGAGTTCCTCCTGAACAGTTGACCACACACTTCTGGGTGTGGATGTGTCACTAGTCATGTGACCACACCATTGGAGGAAAGAGTCCCACAAAGGCCATGTCTGGATCGATTCATTGGGCCATTGGGATGTTTTTTTGTGGTGTTACCTCCAACAAATCCCAACCATCCCGGATTGGGTTTGTATTTTTTTCTGTGTATACCGATCATATACCGATCATCCTGGATCTATTTCAGGGATGTAAACTGATCCCCGTCGCTTGCCTTTCGAAGCTTTGGGACTGGCTGGGCGTCATGAATTTCTCATGGCTCTTGAGACGACCGAAGGTTGATAAACCAGCGATGGAAATACATGGAATAGCAGTGAACTCTAGTTGGGTAAAAGGCGCTTCATCCATTTCAATTCATTTCATTCTCTGAATTGAAATACAAACTGCTTTTAACTGGTGATTTCTATTAATCTAACCAGTCACTATTTCATTTCTGATTCTTCCCCGCCCCAGAAAGCTGCGACAAAATCCCATTTGTGGCGTTCCAATCCTCAGGTCCAGACTGACACCAGTGCAGGTGCAATTCAAGAAGTGCCATGGCTCAAAAGATGTGTATTTAAAGAGGTTATCGTGGGAGGATCTTTCATGGGATATGTTTGACCAACTTGATATGTTTTGATTCGTTTAGTCATGATGTTTTTCACCAAGGTTGATGCTTAAATCACATATAAAAAAATCGAAGCAAAAAATAGGAGGAACCCATTATCCTCTGGTCATGCAACAGTTTGCCATGGAAGCCATAACCATAGAAATGATCGGTGACTTATTTTCAAATTGGTACAGCATATAATGAGAATATATATATATATATATTTATACACACTTTTTATGGCTATGCCTGGCTATGTTACCAGAAGGCACATGTATCAAACATATGTACAGGATCAATGATGAACACAGTGCAGTGAGTGATACATTTCATGGTAGCACATGGGGATTTCTTGAAATGGGGGACCTTGGGTCATCCATTTTGTTATGTTTGATAGGGAAACCAGTGGTTGTTTCAGATAATTGAGAGATCTTATAGCCACTGTTTTTTCCATAATATCACAGAAAAAATCACACGTTTATTATCATTGATATTCACCGAAGCCCTGGCTTCTAATTGGCTAATAAATACGGCTTAAATGGTTACTTTCCAATTTGCGGCTACAATTATAATCTATAACAACTGTTCATTCTATCAAAATTGGCTATACGCAATCAATCTAACCCAGCCGGATAACTGTTAAACTTGTGGCCAATCTATATTGGCTATATAGTCTACCTATAGATTGGATAATACTGTAACTATCCATTTGACGTTCCGAGGCTCTCAGTGGACTGCACCACTGCGGAGCATGGCTATGTGGCGCACAGCTTGTCTAAGGTGGGGCATGGGAGGCCACCATTGAGACATGGGAGGCCACCATTGAGGATCCCAAATGGGTTTCCGAAGTCATGGGGGTACCCATCCAGCTATTCGATTGGGATTTTCCACCATCCAGCTATTGGGGCACCTCCATTTATGGAAACCCCCAAAGGATCAACTGCGCCTTTTGGGAAACTGTGAGATTTCAGAGATTCTTCGAGTCGCAGATCATGCCGAGGAAGTGGAAGGCAGCCTGAAACGCATGACTGAGCAGAAGGACCTGGCTGCAGAGGTGCGGGGATGAGGGTTTTTGGTGGGAAATCTTGGGTAAAGATATCAAGTTTAATGCCTATTTTGAGGGGATATACTGCGATATATATATATATATAAATAATATATATATATTTAAATCATATACAGTCTATATATATATATTTAAATCATATAGATATATTTAAATCATATAGATATATTTAAATCATATATATATATATTTAAATTATATATATATATATTGTATATATATATATATATTGTATATATATATATGTATATATATATGTATATTTAAATATATATATATATATATATATATATATAAATGTATATATATAATTTTTATAAATGTATACATATATATATATATATAAATGAATATATATATATATGTATATATATGTATATATATATATATGTATATATATATATATATGTATATATAAATATATAAATGTTTATTTATATGTACATATATATATGTATATATACATATACATATATATAAATATTGATGTATGTATATATATATATTATGTATATATTGTGTATGTATATATATATTATGTATATCTTATGTATGTATATATATTATATATGCAGTATATTATGTATATCTTATGTGTGTATGTATATATTCGAAGGAAGTTTACAGCAACAAAGGGGTAGCCGACCGTGGTTAACGTGGCAGGCGTGCAGCGGATTGCTGGAAGAGATTGGTTTGGGCCCGAATGAACTTTTTGAAAAAAAACAGGAGTTGGGAATTCGGAAAATCATTTGAACATTTTGAACTATTCCAAAACGCATTTTATTTATTTTTGTTCAAGTTCATGATCTATGCCTGATGTGATTCATCACATATCTCTGCACTGCAGATGTAGTGATCGACCCTTACGGTGGTTCCTAAACCATGGAAATCCGCACCCTGAGGTCATAGCAAGGTGCTGGCGGTGCTGCGACGCGACGCATTGGTGGATGTCTTGCAGGACCGTTGGAACCCTGTCGTCAATGGATTGGGATGAAACCAGATTCCGGACGAGCTAAGGTTGATAAATATGAGTGGTTACTCATACTTTAGGTGAATAACCATACTATAGCCATACTATAGCCGTCAGGCGCCGGACCATCATCTGCGAGAGAGGAACCATACTATAGCCAGTTGGGGATTTCACTTGGTGGGTATAACCGATGATATACGGATACACTCATCGTTTCAGGATGTTTCAGCTTGTTTCTTGCTGGGTCACTACCAATCTGTAAAAGGATTCTAGGTTAATTGATGTTAATTTAATTGATGTTAATTGATGTTAATTGATGTCAATTGATGTTAATTGATGTTAATTGATGTTCATTGATGTTCATTGATGTTAATTGATGATAATTGATGTTAAGTGATGTTAAGTGACGTTAATTGATGTTAATTGATGTGAATTGCTGTTAATTGATGTGAATTGATGTCAATTGATGTGAATTGATGTTAATTCATGTCAATTGATGTGAATTGATGTTAATTGATGTCAATTGATGTTAATTGATGTTAATTGATGTTAATTGATGTCAATTGATGTTAATTGATGTTAATTCTTGTTAATTGATGTTAATTGATGTGAGTTGGTGTTAATTGATGTTAACTGATGTGAATTGATGTCATTTGATGTGAATTGATGTTAATTGATGTTAATTGATGTTAATAAATGTTAATTGTGAATTGATGTTATTTGATGTTAATTGATGTTAATTGATGTGAATTGATGTTATTTGATGTTAATTGATGTGAATTGATGTCAATTGATGTGAATTGATGTTAATTGATGTCAATTGATGTTAATTGATGTTAATTGATGTTGTGTGAAACATGTATGTTGAAAGTAACATGATGCTGCATGCTTGGACGGTTGCCATGCGCCATTTTGGTCTCAAGAATGGCACCCAGATAGCCCTCATTCCAAATTGCCCCGCTTCGCATGTTGGGATTGGAATGGGGGCTCATCGATTCATCTTTCTCTGGGCTGCAACATCCTTCTTAGCATCACTGACACACGTCATTTGGTGGTGCATCAGATCACGACCGCAGGTTGAGCCATCTTGGTGATTGTGCTTCATCTGGCCAACAGATCACTGTGGGACATGACAGACATTTCAGATGCAGAACTTCAAGCAATCACAACGGTGAGTGAAGCTGCGACAAAAACTGGACTGGCAGGGGCACATGGTGATGAGTTGACCCCTAAAGGATCTTTTCTCAAGCTGATTGGGGCAGATGATGCATCACCAGTCAATTCTCTGGGGATCATTTCAGTGGCTGACTACACAGCTACAGTTCAAACGTGGCAGATCAAGCAAAGGCCTCCTGGTGGTGGTGATCCCACCGACAGACTATCAACACTGATTGAGACCGGCCAGGCACTCTACGTTGGGCGCATTGCCCGCATGAAGTTGGGGATTGAGGGCACACTGGCAATCAATTCGCCAGGATTGCCATCAGTCCCAACGCCAACCGCATCAGCTTCTGCCAGGAAAATCAAGATGAACTAGATTTTGTCGCAGCTCGATGAATCGGAAATTGAGATAGTTTCCAGCGCAGAGCAGCTCAAATGCTTTGCGCGCTATGAGGTCCTCTATGGCAAGAATCAGAGACCCCACCCAGATCAGGAGCCGAGCATTGAACAGCTTTCGGGATTGAAGGCATTGTTGGACACATCACAATGTCCATATGCTGACTTTGCAATCTTTCAGCCACATGCAGCACGCATCATGAAGAAGATACGTTTCCAGGGCTTGATTCTGAACAAGGCAGGGGCCCTTGCACAGGCTGAAATTTACGGGCCGCCTAACTTGGACAGCTGGAGAGCGTGTTACGAAGTGTGGGCAAATGCTATGATCATGCTTGATGCCATTAATCTCGGTTCACTGCAGGCATACAAGTCCAGAATCGAAATGCTGAGCGTCAGATATGGGGATGCAAAAGTGTGGCCTCTCCTTTATCAAGCGGACACACGTGCACGTCTAGAGCACCTTCCAAGGAAGAGGTTGGAGCTTCTCAAGGAGCATCAAGACGCGACTTCTGCTGGCGGTGCAACTGCCTACGAGCCGGATAGGCCGTGGAACCTCTCCTTGAGCTGCGTGGCGAAGGACGACAGATTCTGGGCACATGAGTTCATTGAGCCGGCCATGATCATCCTTTCAGAGGGAAAGGGGGTGCGTCCACCTCTGGATGAAGATGCCAGGGTGTCACCACAGCATGACAAGTCAAGATCAGTTTCAGCGGCAGCAGCGGGGGCAGTCAGACCTCGCAACCACAATCGCACTGGCCGAGTTCATGATCTGGTGGATGGTCAATACAGGTCAAACCGCACTGGACATCAGTTGTGCGCGGACTACAATGCTGGCAAGTGCACATCGACAGTTCAAGGATCTTGGTGCGGCACCCATCAGAACAAGGCTCACCAATGTGCAAGATGCTTGGGTACTCATCCTTTGACCACGTGCCCACACACAGAACCTCCTCAGCCAGGTTGGATCAAGAATGCAGAACGATCCAAAGGAAAGGGCCGGGGAAAGGGACGTGGGCGTGGCAGACATAAGGGCGCTGCGCCCTACTGACTGGATGACACTGCAGCTGACGACATGCGAGTTTCACATCACGGAACTACGGATCTGGCTGATAGACTTCTTGAGGAGCCGGCCAGAGATGTTCCTGATTGCATGGACGATCACATTAGGGTCGTGCAGACAGACTCTGATGGAATTCAAAGCAAGCACAAGAAGTGTTTATACTTGTACTCAGGTCCCTCAAGGGAAGACTCACTTGAGCACTTTCTGCATCAACATGGCTGGGATTGTGAGAATATTGACATTGAGGCGACAGTCAGCACAGACTTGTTGGACTCTGACGCTTGGGACTCCTTGTTTCACAGGATTTGCTGCGGTGAGTTTGATGCTGCGTTTGCCAGTCCACCATGTGGCACATTTAGTGCGGCAAGGACTGGTGAGGGCGGACCAAGACAGCTTAGGGGTCCAGTGCTGCCAGACCTCAATGGACTGCCAAATCTGACAGAGGCTGAAAAGCATGATGATAAAGCTGGCAACGTTCTTGCTGATAGAGCTGCAGAGGCTATGAAGTGGTTTGCAGATAACCTCCGACCTTGGGGAGTTGAACAACCTGCAAGGAGAGACGGCAAACCATCGCTGTTCAATTTGCAAAAGTCTCAGCAGCTGGCAAGCCGAGATGATGCACGTTTCAACAGATTCTCGCAGTGCCACTTTGGGTCAAAATTTGGGAAGTCAACCGAAATCCTGGGTAACCTTGACATGGGTAGTTGGCCTTCAGATTGTAACCATCCATCACAAACATGGGTTGTTCCTTGGTCAGGTCAAAGGTGCACAGGTCCTCACCCACCGCTAAAAGGTAAGCAGATAGCTATTCCTGAAAGTGAGTGGGTTCCTTGTATGTTGAAACACTTTGAACCTAGTGGACCATACCTGACTAAGGCCACCGCCCATTACCCAGGGTTGCTCAATAAACAGATTGCGTCAGCTGTGGCATCAACGGTTCTCAGAGGGGTCAAGCGTAAAATTTCAGATGTTTCGCAACCCTCCGGTAGGAACTTTGCAGACTTGCCCACACCCAGGTTGAAAGTGGGTAATTGTTTTCCCACGAATGATGCCGACTCTTGTAAGGGAGGTTTGCGTTGTCCCTACAAGTCATTTGTCAAAACACCTAAGCATGTCAACCTGGGCGTACAGATCCGTAATGTCATCGAAAAATTTTGCAGTGAGACACCGGGTTTCAAGGAATTTTACCTGGAGTCGATTGGTAAAGGTGATGCCTCACACTTCCCGGGTCACGCGCACATTGACCGTTTAAGAACTCGGGTCACTGATGTTTTGTTAAGGAATTGTCCCGCTAGTGACGAAATGAGTTTTGATGTCAACACGTCACCTGACCACACGTGCCTCAAGGCGAATTTCATGAAGCTGTGGCTCAGAGCAGCGGACGACCCAGCAGAGGATTTGACCCTTTGGCTGAACGAAGGTGCCCCGTGTGGATTGATCCATCACCCGGATTTGGAATTGATTTTCCCCAGAGTTGATGATGAACTTGATAGTTTCAGTTTTGAACATCTTGCCACTGATTTTGATAGTTTCAGATTATCAGGGTGTTGAGGAAAACGCTGATGCAGCAGCGGCTCTTGACAGTTACGTAAAGAAAGGTTTCCTCACAGTTTGTGACACCCTGGATGATTGCAAGAAGCTGTTGGGTGGCGAGAATCCGGTCCTTTCAAAACTGGGGTGTATTGTCAAAACCAAGGTGAATGACCGTGGACAACCCGTCACCAAGACACGCATCATCCTTGATGCCAAACAGTCACAGGTCACCAGGGCCACTAGGAGACTGTACAAGTCTGAACTTCCTAGGATTTCGGATGCTGTTTATGACTTGTTGGCACTCATGTCAACGGCTCGCCCTGGTGAGATAGTAACTCAGTTTGTGGCAGATATCGTCGATGCATTTTGGCTGATACCAATCAACAAAGACGAACAGAGGTTCTTTGTTGCACGGTTTCGAAACAATTTTTTGGTTTTCAATCGCACCGCCCAAGGAAGCAGAACTGCGCCTCTCACGTTTGCGGCCATCATGTCGACGGCAGGACGGCTCTTGCAGAGCTTGCTTCTGAGAAATCACTTGGGTCAACAAATTTGGCAAGATGGGCGATTGGAAGTTTATGTTGATGATCCCTGGGCGTGTTTCAAGGGCACCCAGGGAGAAATCAGTGATCTTGTGGCTTGTTTGTTGATTGGTTGGGAACTGTTAGGATTCCCAATCGCATACCATAAAGCCACGATGGGCGGGTTGTTGAAGTGGATTGGCATGGATATCCACATTCAACCTGACTCCATCGAAGTTCACATCCCTGTGGACAAACTGCAGGAGATCAAGACCATTGCACTTGGTTTCCTCAGAGGCAACATTCTTCCCAACAAGGACCTGAGGAGTTTTGTTGGGAAATGCATGAATATTGCTGGGGTCCTGCACGTTTGGAAACCATTCATCAAACAGTTTTATGCTGCCATGTATGCACCGAAACCCGTTGGCACACCGCAGAATTGCACGTGGACCAGTCAAATCAAAACTGGGCTTCTGTGGGTGTTAGCTTTTGTTGATCAAGAACAAGAGCTTCAACTAACCAAACGGGTTTGGCACGTGAGTGAATTTTTGCACCAGGGTGAAAGGGTCATGATTTCTTGGGACGCGCCACCCTGGGGTTTTGGTGCAGTGTTATATAAACAAATGCAACCAATAGAATACATAGTGAGTACTCCGACGGAGTTTGAAAAGGAGCTGCTCGAGTTGGATGTCGGATCATCCTCATCGCAGCAAGTCCTGGAGTGCTTGGCAGGCCTGGTGGCACTGCGTGAATGGGGACCGGTTTGGAGAAACACAAACGTCAAACTGGCCATCCGTAACGACAACATTGGTGCTTTGGTCCTTCTGGGACAATTGGAAACAAAGTCACAGAGGAATTCAATGATAGCCAGAGAAGCAGCTCTTGACATTGGAATTTCAAGTTTTCGTCCACAAATTGTGGAACACATCCCTGGGATTACAAACGTGACGTGTGATGAGCTAAGCAGGCTCAGCCAACCTGGCAAAACACACAATGCAATTCCAAAGATACTCCAGGGAATCCCCAAGAAAACGATATCCACCCGTGACAAAACCTGGTGGAAATCGATCAATCCGCCATGTCTCAAGACATAGCAAGTGGCACAGAATCCAAACGACCGTTTTGGGGGTGGGGGATTGATTGTGTTGATTCAATGCGCTGGTTTAATAGTCAGTGTTTGATGGCCTGACTTGCTGACTTGTTGTGCATTTTACTGACCGACTGCCATTTGAGTTGATTTTAATTGTTCGCTTCACAGGCAAAACAGGCTAAGGTTCTGTTGCCACCTGTGCATGGTTGTCGCTTTCATGGCTTGAGGTGACAGTTCGTTGCACTCTTGCTGATTCGACTCGCCTGTTTCTTTGAAGGCATAAAGGTGGACAGGCAGTGTAAGGCATAAAGGTGGACAGGCCCATGTCTCTTTCAAGCACTGTTCAAATTTGATTGTTTGTCGCTTGGCTTGTTCGTGAGTCCTGTGGCTCAATTCACCATGTTCAGGAGGAGAAGAACCGATTCTATGATGGCAGTGCCGCCTGGGAATTTTAGATACCTGGGCCGATGGTACTTGGATAAATGACTGGATGGTGGTGAATCCAGAGCCAAGGGCAGGTGGACACAGGGGGAGAACTCCCTATGGTCCGGTTGGCAGGGCATCCAACAGCTTCACTCCATGCCATTAGAACCAGAACCAGGAGTGATCAGCCGGCAGTGAGATTGCAGAGCGGTGCTGATCAAGCAAGTGCTTTAGCTGCTGCGGCCACACCAGGTAGCCAAAGGGCAGCAATGGAAGAGCTCCACAGAGGGGTCTACGCGGCCACGTCTCAGGGACCCCAGACTGCACTTCTTCCATTGCACGCGGGTTCGGGTACACGCGCGCACCCTGAAAAGCGTCAAAGCCGCAAAGCCGCAAAGCCGCCATGGAACGCTCAAGCCGCAAAGCCGCATAAAGCCGCAAAGCCGCAAAGCCGCCATGGAACGCTCAAGCCGCAAAGCCGCATAAAGCCGCAAAGCCGCAAAGCCGCCATGGAACGCTCAAGCCGCAAAGCCGCAAAGCCGCAAAGCCGCAAAGCCGCCATGGAACGCTCAAGCCGCAAAGCCGCAAAGCCGCCATGGCCGCAAGCTCTGAGACTCATGCGCTGTCTTCTGCGTTCATCGCCGCTGCGTTGCCACCGCCATGGAACGCTCAAGCCGCAAAGCCGCAAAGCCGCAAGCTCTGAGACTCATGCGCCGTCTCATGTGTTCATCGCCGCTGCGGGTACACGCGCGCACCCTGGAAAGCGTCAAAGCCGCAAAGCCGCCATGGAACGCCCAAGCCGCAAAGCCGCAAAGCCGCCAAGCCGCCACGGAACGCTGAAGCCGCAAAGCCGCAAAGCCGCCATGGAACGCTGAAGCCGCAAAGCCACCCATGGAACGCTCAAGCCGCAAAGCCGCAAAGCCGCAAAGCCGCAAGCTCTGAGACTCATGCGCTGTCTCCTGCGTTCATCGCCGCTGCGTTGCCACCGCCATGGAGCGCTGAAGCCGCAAAGCCGCAAAGCCGCAAGCTCTGAGACTCATGCGCCGTGTCCTGTGTTCATCGCCGCTGTGTTGCCAGAGATTCAAGAAGCGTCAAAGAGCCGCAAAGCGCCAAGGCGTCGAAGCACCACGAAGCGTCAAAGCGGCAAAGCTTCGCCAAAGCGTCAAGAAGCGCCAAAGCTTCCAGAAGCGTCAAAGCGCAGAAGCGTCCAAGAGCCGCCAACGAAAGGCTTGCTGTGTTTAGATGAGGATGGGCTTGCTTACGGAAAGAGGTCTGCAACGAAAGGCTTGCTGTGTTTAGCAGGGTATGACCTCGCTTGCGGAAACAGGTCTGCTATGAAAGGCTTGCTATGTTTCGAAGGAGCTGCGCCTGCTTACGGACAGAAGGTCTGCAGCGACTGCACCGAATATACTTGCTGCTCA